GCAACCTGGATAGCAAAGTTTAAATCTTGACTGTCTCAGCATGCAGCAGAAGAGACCTGGCAGAGGAGCTCTAGTCCTTGGCACTTGTGCCTTAGGGCTCTGTGTCTCTGGGTGGCTATAGAAATGGAGAAAAAGTTCTGGAGAAAAGCTTGGTGTGAGCAAGCTCCTGTTCTCAGCTCCGTCTCCTGTTAAACTTGGGGTGTATTCCTCTTGCTTGGGACCCTTTGACATTGAGGTTAAAGGAAATACATCTTTATTAATGTCTGAAGCGGTGGGTTTGTGTTTATATTAATAAAGTTCATGACACCGAGATAGTGTTACCTCTAAACAGCTCTTTATTCACTATTTTATGCAGGATTTCTGCCTGGGCATGTTTGATACTCCCAAGTGAATTTGATATCATCTCAAGCTAAGATCTGTGATGTTCTGCAGTGGCWCCATGGATAGCTAGGGGTCTTTTTTTTTAAGAGCAAAAAGAGATAAAACACACAATACCTCAGAACTCATTTGTAGGTTAGTCATTTTATTTTTCTGAAGTAGAAATAAGTACCCTAYCTTGGAAATGGCACCTGTCAAAAAGAAAAAAAAGGAGAAAACAGGGATAAGTGTTCTTTTTGGGGCAACATTGTCAAGGTTTTGAAGTGCATCTGCACTGCATTAATTGAAGGTTACACTTGGAAAGACCTGAATTCAGCATGGATGGTTCAGCTGCAGTTGGAAGCAGGCAGGGAGATGTCTGGGTCGGAGGCAGGATTGCCCTGGGTAATCACGCGGCTCTTACATAAGAGCGAGGTAAAAATAAAACCGAGAGAGTGCATGTGTGTGTGTGCGTGTGTGTGTGTGAGCAGCAGCGACACGCTGGCACCTCCCTGGGCCGGGGCCACCGGCCGGCGGGCTCCGGGGCTCCGCCGCGAGCGCTGCTCCGCATCGCGTGCCCGCCAGCCCAAAGGGCTCGGGGGCCAGGGCTGTCAGTGCCCAAGGTGCCAGCCGGGCGAGCTGGAGCTCCCTGACTTCGGATGAGGAGCGAAGTGTGTCAGGTCCGGGCCCTCGGTTGAAGAATTTAGTGGAAGTTATTATCAAATGGTCTCTTTGTGTGGCATAAAGATCCCCTCAAAAGAAGGCCCAGTAGAAGCTTTTGCTTGGAGTGCAGGCATCACTCGTAGGCTGCTCTGTAACTGCACGAGCCCTTCTCTGATCTTAGACTATCCTGGGTGAGAGCCTTCTTCCCAGGGGCTCCATGCGGCTCCCTCTGGAAGCAGCTCCGGCCGAGCAGCAGGCGCTCCCTGGGTCGAGGCAGCGCCACGGTTGCCTTTGGCGCTTCCCCTGTGGGGTCTCGGCAGACCTCCTGCTCCCTGGGGTCTCAAGGCGCAAACAGGAATAACCACGGACAGAGCTGGGCACTGGACGGGTTCTGGCRACTCCTCATCCTTGAGCCTGCCCTGCTTTGGAGTGCCCCGCTTCCTCACCTGCAGCCTCCTGCAGTGACAAGCGGTGGTGAGGGCCAGCGGGAGGGGAGGGATGCTCCCGTGCACACAAGGGATGCCGCCAACAGCAATGGAGGCGGGAAACGTTGTTGCACGAAGGATTTATGTCTATGTGTGTGTGTGTGTGTAGGGGGAGGTTGGGGTTTTCACGGATTGCGTTTCTCGTGCGCAGCAGTCCCGGGAGGCTCGCTCTGGCTCCCCACCTTGCTGTGGGCACAGAAAGGCCCGGGCGCGGCTCGGGCCGGGCCACGTTACGCAAGGCGGCCGCGCTGCAGCGCTGCGCTCCGCACGACACGGCGGGTGACRCTCCGGCGGGGCCGCCCGGATGCAGCCGGACGCGCTCCCGGCGCCCCCCGCTCCGCGCGGAGCGCACGAGCTCCCGCCCCGCCCCGCGGGATGCCGAAAAAGGCCGTTTCTGGGCCCCGCGTTCAAACGGGGCGGCCGTTACGCGGCGGTTGGGGCGGCGCCCCCGCGCCATGGCGGAGCTGCTCCCCCTCCCCACCAGGCGGCGCGGGGGCTGCGCGCGGCGGGCGCCGCCCGGCCACTCGCCATTGGCTGCGGCGGCGGGAGGGCGCCGCCCCGGCCGCCGGCGATTGGGCGGCGGCGGGGCCGCGGTTCCCGGATGCGGGCGCGCTCGGCGGTTATAAAGCGCCGGCGGAAGGCGGGAGCGGGCGCAGTTTGAATCGCGGCGCGCCGGGGCAGGTCGCCGTTGTCGCGCGGGCTCGGTGCGTGCGGGGCGCTCCTCTTGTCCGTCTCCGCCACGCGCCGCGGAGCCGTCTGCCATGGTGAGGAGCGGCGGGGGGCGGCGGGGGGCGGCGCGGGGCGCTGCGGCGGCCGCCGTGTGCGGAGCGGGAGCGCGGGCGGCGGCAGGTACGGGGGGGGCGGCGGGCGGCGTTGTACCGAGCGGCGGGAGGCGGGGAGGGGGGGTCGCACGCGCGGTGGCGCCGCCGGGGAGAGGGAGTGGCCGCGGCGCATGCGCGCGGCGCGGCCCGTGCCGCTAGGTGTAGCGGGCAGCGCGCAGGCGCCCGGGCGCAGCGCGGCGGGGGGGAGGAGGGCGGGGAGCGCATGCGCGGGAGGGCGGGGTGCGAGGGGAGCGAGCCGCGTCTCCCTGCTCCAGGCTGGAGGCAAAGCCGGGAAGGACTCCGGGAAGACCAAGACCAAGGCCGTGTCCCGCTCCCAGCGCGCCGGCCTGCAGGTGAGCGCACTGCGGTCGTGTGTGCCCGCGCCCGGCCAGGGCCTTCTGCCTCATCCTGTGGTGAYGGCGTCTTCCTCCTCTCCTGGTGTCCAGTTCCCTGTAGGGCGCATCCACAGGCACCTCAAGTCTCGGACCACCAGCCACGGGCGCGTGGGAGCCACGGCTGCCGTGTACAGTGCTGCCATCCTGGAGTACTTGACAGCAGAGGTAAAGATGCTGCGCGGGCCCGGGCGAGCTGGACGGGCTGATCACCATACAATTGTAGCCACAGCCTGATACACCTTGTTGGTGTGAACTGGGCTGTGACTCTTCGTGTGCCAAAACACAAACCCCTTTAAAAGACATATTGCTTGCTGTCCTCATGTCACTGCTCACCTGGCTTAGAGGAAAGAGCTAAAGCCGCRTGACGGGTCTCTTGACTTGCAGAACTCAGTCTAAAAACGTTCTTGTCTTCAGGTTCTTGAGCTGGCAGGAAATGCATCCAAAGACTTGAAGGTGAAGCGTATCACTCCCCGTCACCTGCAGCTTGCAATTAGAGGAGATGAAGAATTGGACTCTCTCATTAAGGCAACAATTGCTGGTGGTGGTATGTAACTTGCTTTCTAGCTTTAAGTGGAAAGCAGCTCAATTAGTTTTAAGGGTTGCTTAATAATTGTATTTGAAGTGCCAAGTTTAGCAAAATCACTGATAAGTAACATTATTTTAACTCTTGGTATTGCTCTTTCCTAGGTGTAATACCACATATCCACAAATCTCTCATTGGAAAGAAAGGACAACAGAAAACTGTCTAAAGGATACCAGGATTCCGTGTTATCTCAGGACTCTTAAGTACTTAATTGTCCCGTGTTGGTGATTCCGGTGGACTGTATCTGTGAAACACAATTTTGCCTTTTTGTAACTTTGAGAAGCTAAAGCTCACTGAGCTTTCTAACAAACCAAATTTCTGCATTGAAGTCTTAACCGTATTTAAGTGTTACCATGGCTTCAAAGAAGCTATTGTATTTGTAGTGGGTTTTGATTGAGCTGACTGTTTTTAGATCGGTTTGATTAAGTAAAGGAAGTGTTTGGTTTTGTACAGACTTTTCATCCACTAGAGTGGAAATATTCAATAAATGTTATATCAATACCGATTGTCTCATGTACAGTGACTGAAAAACATTTGGTCCCAGTTGTGCAGCTCTGAAGAAGTGCAGTTCCTGGAGGACACGACTGCGATGGCTCTCGGAGCTGTGAGGTGCTGCAGGTATTGGTATTGTAAAGTGGAAATGTAGCCTTGCAGCGCTGCACCACATAGTAGYAGAGTGACAGGGAGCGTTTTTCTCCCACCAGGTTAAAGCACGTTCTTAATAACGGAGCCTTGTAGAGGCTTATGTTAGAATGAGCTTTAGGAAGGCATGTTTAAGGGCAGATTTACCTGGTATTCATAGTCTCCAAGGTGAGCTGGAGGCTGCACTCTAGAACCTGTGTATGTCTGCACTTCTGCAGCCGTTCTGCTGAKGAAAGGCCATAGATGAGTCCATAAACAATATGAGGGATGCGCTGCATCCTTCTCCGCTGGTATCCATCGGTCTTTCTGAGGTGGCTGGGTGCTTGGCTAGCAAGGCCAACTCTGGGCTGATTCTGCCACAAGCCGAGGGAAAACCTGGGGTAAAAGTAACTACGTCAGCTTGCTGATCTTACAGGAYATTAGAGGAACTTTACATTATTCTTAAGACTTAGTGATGAGGTGAGAAACTGTGCCACTTCCAACTTTTGAATTGTAAGTTTGTTATAGGCTCTCCCTCAGCTCCTGGATACTCTATCCGCAGCAGCCTGGGTGACGTCCTGGACTGGCTTCTTTTAGCTTGTTCCCTCAGGCTGCTGTTGAAAATAACAGTATCCTCACGAGATGARGATGAGGGTGCAGCAGCGTCGGCTCTTGGCTGAGGCTGAGGGTCCTGCACCCATGGCGCCCGGGCTCTGTCAGAAGGAGGGGGGACGGGCAGCTTGGTGCTTCCTGCCCTTTTCCCAGCTCTTCCCTGGTGGATGCGGAGGCTCCCTCCTGGTGGGAGGCGGATGGGCCCTGCCGAGCTGCGCTCCCGGCCGCAGCGCTGGGCTCGCGGTGCCGGCCCGGCCCGCCCATCCCGAGGGGCCGCGGCGCCTCCCGGCTCCGCTCCGCGCCGGGGGCCGCCCAGTACTTTTCCAGCGGGGGAAGCGGCGGGCGGCGCATGCGCGGCGGCGCCCCGGAAGCGGCAGCGGCAGGAGCAGCAGCAGGAGCAGGAGGAGCGRGCCGGGCTGCCGGAGCCGGGGCCGCGGGCACGGCCGCTTCGCGCCGCTTCGGGGCGGCGGGATGAGCGCGGCGGCGTGACGGGGAGCCCGAGCCCGAGCCCGCCCTGCTTCGCTGCGCGCCTCCCTGCCCGCCTCCGCTCTGGCTTCGGGCCCCTTCTCTCTGCGCTGCGGCGGGCGGAGGCGGCGCAAGGAGAAGCCCATGGAGGGGAACCGGGACGAGGCGGAGAAGTGCATCGGCATCGCGCGGGAGGCGCTCGAGGCCGGCAACCGCGACCGCGCCCTGCGCTTCCTCGGCAAGGCCCAGAAGCTCTACCCCACCGAGACGGCCCGAGGTGACCGAGCCCGGGCCCGCCGGCCCCCCCTGCCTTCCTCACCCCCCGCGCCCCTGTTAGCGGCCTCCCCGCGGCCGTTAACGTTCGGCGCGGCCGTTAGAACGGGCGGCCGTTAACGTTCGGCGGCCCAGGGGGCCCGGGAGTCGCCTTGAAAAGGGCCCGGTAAAAACGCCCCGGGGAGGCTCAGTTGCCTCCTCCCCCCGTTCCTGTTTCTTTTCCACTTTATTACTGTTGTTATTTTTTTATTTCGGCCATCGGTTTAATCGGAGTGAGGGGCAGCGAGCCTGGCGCTGCCTCGCAGCCCAGGCCTCAGGGCGAGAGGCGCCCGGGGCTGCCCCGTGTCTCGCTGTGGAAGAGCCCTGCAGCGCGGGCGGCAGCTGAAATTCCAGCCCGGGCTTTGCGTTATCAATTATTTGTGGTGGGTTTTTTGGAAGGGGGGAGGGAGGCAAGGAGGAGGTTGGTTTATTTTGCCTTTTTGTTGTACAGTAGCTCAAGAATCAAGCACAAGTTTAGCTGTGGTAGAGGGCAGAAAGAATGGGCCTGGTTGCTCCCTGTGTCGTAAATGGCTCTCTAGGCAGCTGTTTGATAAAATTTAAAAAAATAACAAACAAAATGTGTTTTGAAGTGACTGACAGGAGCAGTGGCAAGGCTCAGATTCTGAGGTCCGTGGCGCTGTTGCGGCTCTTGGAGTCTTTTGGTTGCGCTTTGTCAAAATTCAAGTCCRTATCGTGAATGCAACAACTTGTTGCATTCCTCTGGTTCTCCCTTAAGTTGCCTGTATCCTTGGAGGGATTCAGGAAAGGCTTCCGCACTCTGGACTGCCTTGAGGGCTTTGCTGTAGCATGGAGTAGAGCACAGAATACTTAGGATAAACATTTCACCCAAARTCAAGTTCAAAAAGAGATGAATTCTGAGGCCTGTCTTCTCATTTAGTGTGAGGCACATGTTCAGGAAATGATTTCTATCCTCTTTAATATCTTGGCTATTTTTTATATAAAATCAATATGCTAAGGATATGCTTTATCAGTCCCCATTTATTTTAAGAGTAAATAGTTTTGGAGGGGTTACTTTTTTTTCTACAAGAAAGGTAAATCAACAGCAAAGAAGGTAGTTGTTGCTGCTTTGTTTGGAGCAAGAAGGTGGCGCTTTTAATACTCCTGTCACATCACATACCTCTCAAAACCAGACAAAAAATTGTCTTCTTCCCCTCAGTTTTTATGGCTGAAGAAGATGACCTGCATGAGAACACGTTCGGCWCCTTGGAAGCTGTGTTGGTCAAGAGGCAGGAAGCCTGAGACTTGCAGTTGGGCCTCTTCCATTCAAGGGGCTGAAATGGCTTTGCCTGCTCCACACAGCTTATGGTGGCCTTATGCCTCCAATTTGAGAGTTACAATAGTTCTCACATGTCTACATCTGTTTTATAGCTTGAGAGTTTGGGTTTTTTTTCCTTTTAAGTAGGACTGCTACTACATAACCAGCATTGTGAAGTGTTCAGTGCAAGAAATAGATGGCTAATTAGGCTATTGTCTCTAGGACACTTGTTTTATTCACTGTGGAAATGAGCAAAGTGTGTCACAAAGGAGGTACAGATCTGGTGAAGAGAGGGATGGCCCTGCGGTCACGGTAGTCTGGGGAATTGTGTAGTGATACTAAATGCGTCGCAGAATTTCTCCATGATGTTAAATAAGCCACTTGACTCTGTTTTCCCTGTTTAGTGGCTACTAATTGTTTGTACCTCATTTTTCAGGTGTTCAGCTTGAAACAAGGGCCTGACTTACGGAACTGGTGGGCAGTTAGAGCTCCATCTGAAGCTAATGACAGTTGCAGATGCCCTAATACCACTGAAAAATCAGGCCTTAGGCTTGATTTGAACTAGGTACTTAGAAATTAGGGTACTCTGTAGACTTTTTATATTTCTGTGCTTGGCTTTTCAAGCTGTGGAGGTTGATGGTTCTTCTTCGACTTATTCTCTTGCCTCACACAATAGCAACAACTCAGTTATTTCGTTTACTTATTTTGAAGTTTGTGAGCCCCCTTGTAAGTATAGTTGGCTGCAAGGACACAGAATGACTTGTTTTCAGGACAGCACCTGAAAGATGGGCAATAAGTTAGAATCAGAATTTTACCCTGACTAAGAAAAAGCGAAATTACTGCTTTCTAATTTCATTGTCACCTTCTTCATAAGTCCAGTGTGGATCAACACTGCAGAACATTAATTCATCAGAATTCACTGTAATTCATCAGAATTCATTGCCTCAATTAAAAGCTGTGTCAGAGTGCATACCCAAGAGGAAGGAGGGAACAGGTAAGGTTTTGTAAGTTCCCTTAATCCTAGCACAAATTCTTACTTTACAATCATAATATGTTGGTTTCATGCGGAGACAGGACAATATGGTGCAACCCCACTTGTCACTGTGTSTGCTTATTTTCTCTTTGGGATATGTATTCAAAGATAGTTCTTACCCGTTTTTCTCTGGAGTCAGGGATTGTCCGTGAGGTATGTTCACCGTCATTTTGGGAACATTTGCTCACCATTTCACAAAAGAGATTCCGTCTGTGATAACAGTGCCAAGAATCATAGTGCTGGCTGGGAATCAGCTCATCTCCAGCAAGCATAAAAAAGATACAGGAGGAGAGAAGAAGAAAGGAGGACTAAAGAAAGAAGTGGAGGGAGAAAAATTATTGCAGGGTTTAGGATGAAAAAAGGCAGAGCAGGTTACAAGTGTTAAAGGCTGTGATGAGAGAGAGTAGCAGAGCACCCCTGAGGCTGCTGGTCCCCGAAAATAGCCCAGAGGTGCAGAAATTGGCCTGGCAGTCACTGTATGCGCCTGGTTGCTGTGTCCTTGCCCACATTTGCATTTAAACTGCACTCAGCGCAGGGTCAGTCCCTGCTGAAATAGAGTTTTGCTAAAACGAGGCTCCAGCCTGAAATACGCTGACTGCAGCAGGGCTATTTTGAGGTGTAGTGGTGTGAAACATGAGGGCAGTGTTTATTCAGTGATATTTAGCAAATAACTTGGTAGTAGYGGTTCGTGTGTTGACCGTCGTCCCTTGCTGGAAAATCATTCTGCAGTTCATCTGTTGCATCAAAATACTAAGCTAGAGCATGGTTTTTGGTGGTTATCTGTCTTGCAACTGAATGGAAACTAATTGCTTGTCAGGCAGTGATCTATAAGAATGGATATAAAGTTAACAAAGAACAAAGTTCCTTTCCAAGCGTAAGTGCCATTTTTGGAGAGGAAGGCAGAAGCTGACAGTAAAGTTTGCACTTGGTAGGTTTTGGTATGTACAACTCTGTTTTTCAGTGCCATTTATGATTTCTTCCATGATTTGAGTTGCTGGATTGAAAAGCAAACATTATTTTTCAAAAGTAAGCTTACTTTTTGGGGGTGGTGTGTTAGTATGATTCTGCATTTATCAGTTCTAACATCTMTATTTCACAATCATATCCCATTTTAAAACACTTGCATGCACACTGGAAGTTGTCTTTAACACACTGTTAGCAGCACCATTCCAAAAGCTGGATTTRCCACCAGAAGTTCAGCGAAGTCTTGCTTCTGAATGCGTGAACTGAATCTCTTATTAGAGCAATACGGTGCCCGCAGGCCCTTTGTCTGGCCTTCCTTTTAAGCCCGGAGCAATAGCATTTTGCATACTCTGTGCCCCGCAGGCTTAAGAAGCTCGCACTTCTCTGACATTTTCCACACGGAGCTGGCTTGGTCTTCACAGGAGCGCAGCTCCGCTGTGGCCTGGGACGTCTGAGAAGGATGACTAGGAAGCGATGGCGTTGGAAGCGCTGCGCAGGCACGCGCGTCCTTGAACAGGCTTAGCTCTAAACAGTGCTCTAAATAGGTACTGGGGTTAAAGACACAAGCTAGTGTCTGTGCCGGGGTTTCTGCCATTGTTGCTGCTAGTGGTTTGAAGGCAGTGGCGCTGGGATGGGGAGGTTCTGCAGAAATTCCGATAAAAACTCTGGTTTTGCAAAACTGTTGATTGTTAATGGATGGTGAGTTACAGTCATGTGTCCAGTGCAGTTCCAAATAAAGATAAATTTACTGTAGATGAAAGGGCACAAAAATAGAAGACAAAATATTGTTTTCTCATTTAATGGGAGCAATCTTGGACCAGAAATGCTCTTTTTAAAGACTCTGCCTCTCCAAATCTGTGTTCTTGGTTAGTTCTCAGCCTGTAGACAAAGTCATCTTGTTGGCATGTTATTTCAAGTGCTGAAGTGAATGAGTGAATGAATGAATGAAGCAGTACCACAAGAGCTAGTATTAGAAGAACCTAATAAATGTGTTTGGGTTATCTTCTTCAGTTATAGTCTGTAATGGGATTAGAGCTGTCCTGTTCTCAAGACCTTTCTTTCATTTGCTGTGAGAAGCTCCTCTCAGTGTGCCCCTGGGCATTTCGGTATTAGCCTGTGGCTTCTTTGTGCCGCGCAGTGGAAAAGGCTGATGTGGTCACCGCGAGGAGCCGGCGCGCAGGCCGGCAGCCTGGCCTGCTCGAGCTGGGCACAGCTCTTAGTCTGCAGCCTTCAGACTGCTCTGGCCAGCGGGCAGTAAAACTTGAGCAAGTACTGGGGGCTGAAAAGCACATCTGAAGAAAGTGKTTCTCTTCCTTAAATAAAGCTCCTCCTCCTTTTCTTTCCTATGGTGTCTGAGACACAGGCTGTATAGCAGTTAAGAGCTCAGTTTGCTGCTGCAATAATACTCTGTTGTTGGAGGAGAAATTGTTCGTTCGATTTGGGAGGAAGTCCTTCATACTCCTTCTCCTGGAAGAAAATGCATTTTTTCTTTAACAATGAATCTACAACATTATTTCACAATGAATGTATTTTTAGTTTAATAATGACCTTTTTAGTGAAGATAGTAACCCTTAGCTGTTTATGAAACAGAYTTGCCATGTATAATTTGCCATCTTGGCCTGAAGGACTTCTTTTTAGTAAGGRTAAAGAATATATTTAATAGTTGATGTTTTACCTACGTAATGCTTCTTGTGCTGTCCCTCAGGTTAAAGTGATTCCAGGGGTACAGTTCAAGGGATTGATAAGCCAGACACCTCAAAATACAGACTTGTATCCAGAAACCAAAAGGCAAGTTCATGTCTGATAGTCTATTGAAATAGACACGTTTGAGATGTGCTGGATGGTGGAAGGAAAGAGGATTTAAAAGTGTAACAGAAGTATGCCAGTTTTAAGATTCAGGACGCAAGAGCTCAGTGTAGTTGGCTGGTGCTGACTTATCCGTGGCATTTAACAGTCATTTGAATTTCAGCCGTTTTCTCCAGACGGGACAGAGAGCATCCGTCCATGGCCAGTGACAGCTCACGTTACAAACGGCCGTGTTCTGTAGCAGCTAAAGTGTGCTGCTTTAAAGAAAGCCCTGTTAGGGTGCATCACAGTACGCCCGCCCGACAAAACTGAAGTTGTGCCTGCATCTCTCAGGTTCTCCTCACCCTAATCATGACTGTGTCCTCAGTGCTTTTCTGATATACAGGTATACCTGGACTGCTACCCAGCTAAGGATGGAGTCGGTTGTGACATGAGTGAAGTGGAATTCCTTGTTGGACTCGGGGATCGAGCCCATGTCTTAAGCCAGGCCCACACATTAGGGTACTGCCTTTGGGTTGTTTAGCAGCAAGAATAGCAGTGTCATAATTGCCTCTTATCTGGAATCAGGGATTGCCAGTGTTGCCATAACRTCTACTCCTGTTCTGCAGGCAAGGTGGGACTGAAGTGCTGCCTATTTTCTCTTTCCTCCGGGCTTGTGCACGCTGTCAATTCTATTGCAAGGACGATTACTCTTTTTTTCCCCTCCTCTCACTGTGTTATAAAGATGAATGAATCTGCTGCCAGGACCAGCCCGCGCAATCCTGGGAGATACCGGGACTGGGTATCTGTTTGGAATAACTTTAGTGTATTAGATTAGTTCCCCTTTCTGTTTAGAGTTGCTTATTCAGATGTCAGCCGTGTCTCTCAAAACACCCAGAAATGAAGGAATGGGACATATTCTCTTAARTTACCTTGGCAGAGATGGAGCGGAGTCCCCTCACTAGTTTTGACGTGTTTTCCCATTACTTTGCCATGAGAAGCAGTTGCTAGCCTGGCTTCAGAATCCCCCTGTGTAAGACAGGGGGATTCAGCAGGTGATCAGTGTGGTACTCCAGTTAAAGTTCCTTGAAAGCTCCTGACTTTAGCAGTAATGCCTATAATGATGCCATTGTGTACTGTTCTTTTGTAGTCTTGTTGGAAGCTATTATGAAGAATGGAAGTGCTGCTGGGGGAGGCGCCTACTGCCGAAAACCAGGCAGCAGCAACGAGCAGAGCAAGCCCCATGGCACCAAGGAGGGCCGCGCGTCGGCTGCCGGTGAAGGTGGGAAAGGCTACACCAAGGACCAAATGGAGGACGTGTACAGGTAGGGCCTGCCTTAAGTATGTCACTCTTTCTCATTCCGTGTATTGTGTACTTGTGCTTCCAGATATAGGATTTACGGAACCATTGGAAAAAACAGCAGCAGGATATGCTGTCACTTTGTGCAAGAAAGATTATAATACTGATCTATACATAAAGAAACCTTGGTAGTTTAAAAGAAAATATTGAAAATTGTTATTAAGTAGTTCTCATGATCAATGAAATGAGTAATGAAAATTCTTTAGTAAAACTTGCAGGACAGYGTTTCTATTCTGAAATATTTTCATRTGGAAATAYTTAMRTTTATGGTGGGATTGAAATCTGAGATTAGAAGTATGAGAAGAAAAAAATCTCACAAAGTGTATTTGCAAGTTGATGTTGATAAACAAACTGTTCTTAAGCCAGTATTACAATAATTTCATTCTAGAAGTACATGTGTCTGAGAGGCACTGAATCATATAGTGTAAACTGCATCATAAACTTTGGACCTTGCATAGCGTGGCAGCATCAAGATGGGGCAACAGAGGGAAAGTTGACTCTGAGTTAAGCAAAGATCCTTTTAAATAATCTCTCTGCTTAATTATTGTTGCCCTTAGTCTTAATTTAATGTTACTCTAAAACCTGAACAAACATGTAAATTTTCAGTTTGAAACAGCAACTGTTAAAGCAAAAGGTATGTGTGTTTTTGTGTATGTGTGACAAAATGCCTGTAAAGAATTAATCTAAGCCTCCTTTTATAAAGGTTTTCAAGACATATAACRTGTAACCCGTTCTCAAAAAGCTGTTGCAGGTCATTCTGAGCTGTGGTTTGCTTTACCATCAAAGTCCCTGTGAGCTCTGTGAGAAAGAGTGGGTAGTTTTGGGGTTTTTTTGGGTTTGTTTGTTTGGTTTTTTTTTGTTTGCTTGTTTTTAATCAAGAAAGCAATGCACTTATCTTGGCTTAAATGACATTGTAGAGCCAGCCTTATTTTCCCCAGGAAAAAAGGTGTTCATGGTCTTACTTCCCTGAAAGGATTTCCTAGATAAGAGGTAAAATTCATCTATTGCAGGGAGATCAGAACCAGAGTTCGAGATATTCAAGAAACCGCATACTGTGAAAAATATTGATCCAGTATTGTTTTGAGTTCCCATTTCAGCAGTCCTTGCCTTGAACATCAGATTTGGATTTTTTTTAAACCTTCTCARATGTTTGTAAATAAGCAGTTCTAATAGTTTACAGAATAACCCATGTTTATTYGTATTTTATTTACCACTTAGAAAATCGTCTCTTAAACAATGACTTGTTCTTAGCTTCAGTGATGCTATTATCCTTTAGAACTGCAATTTGTAAACCTTTGGGGAGAGATTGACTTTTGGTTGAGAAGCACAGGAATTAAGAGAGCGAGTCCCAAGTTTTTGCTGGAAGTCTGRCCAAGTTTGTGGTGGTGTTGATCAGTGACATCAATGCACTGCTTGGGAAATCTGGGATTGAGAAGGAAAAACGTGTGCCTTGCTGTGGAGAACAGGGTTAAATACCACTAGGTGAAACTCAAAGGAGCTGTGCAGGTAGAACTGAACACTTGCAGTGATGATCAGTGAGGGGAAGTTCATATCGAAGCCGCAGTGAGAATGAGATTTTTTTTATTGGGGCCTGACATCTGCTATTGCTCTACTCAGACCCAGACTTTTCCAATTAAATGAAGCACTCCCCTTTGGGGAAGAGTGCTCTTTGGAGAGTCAAGCTTGTCACCACCACACGCTGCTACCACACCAAACTGAAGGGTTTTCAGGCCTTCGAACCAGCTAAAGAAATGCTGTATGAAAAGAGGCGATGTTACATAGGGCTTTATGCCTTATTAACTTGAAGAAAATAGACAGTAAGGTAGCAGATTCCCAATTTATAATAAATTCTCAGTCTTAGCATTAATTTGATTTTGTCCAAGTGAATTGCTTTGCATGGTTATGGCTTGAAATTTGGCTGTTTTGGCTCTCTGTGACTTGGAGCACTGACTTGAGCACTGGAGTTGTCCAGCTATCTGGAATTTGCTTGTGACAACAGATGAAGCCGCCGAATGAAGATGCAGTTGGATCAGCCTTACTGATCGACTAAACCATTCATTTCCATCGGTGTTCTCCAGCGATGTGCTGTGAGCACAAACAGGCACCTCAGGGCAGCTTTTTATATTTCCTGCATACACGAGGGACTCCCATCTCCAGCCAGCTCCCGTAACACTGCACGGAGCGTTGCACGAGCTGGCAAACAAGGTGCTCGACAGGGAGGAGCCGTGTGTGCAATACCTTTCCACGGACTGCAGAAGTGCCGCGTCACGCTCCTGCTCCTCAAAAAGTGGGGCAGAGAAATGTGCTCGCTGCTCCCGTGCAGCTCTTGGAAACGCGAGGTGGTCCCAAGCCTTTCATTACTTCTGAACTGGAATGTTTTGAAAATACCATATGTAGTACGCGCCTTTTCCTCTTACTGACGGTTTTCGTCTTATCAGTGGGGCTGTATCCCATAGCTTGAGGACTTTACGTGTCCTCTGTTTCAGAGATAACAGGAAGAGGATAGAAAAAATGCGTGGGGAGCCATGGTAGAGTTACTTGCTTCGAGAGCTGACACCTTAGGAGCTTTGAATCCTGTCCGAACTATGCCAGCTTCAGATAAGTGCAGACATCACCTGCATGCCAAGAAGAAAAAGAGAAGGAAAAAAAAAAGGGAGCGGGAACTTCGGTTCGGTTTCTGTGGTCTTTAGAGGAATTCCTTTTGTGATTTATATAGGTTACTGCATTTGCTGCTGAGGTAGAGAAATGAAGCATCCCTTCAAGAARTAATATATATATTTTTTTCCTTTTAGTTCAATTAAAACAGCTGAAGAATAAGTATTGAACGGGATTATAGTTCTCAAAGAGTTCCTACCTCCTTTCAAGAAATTGTAAGCATAGTATCTGCCTTGTCATACTGAGTGTACAGACCCTTTGGGAAGTTTTTGAGGTCRAATTTTAAAGTTCCATTAAAAAAAATCAGTGCCTGCTTTCTGTTAATCTTATTTCTCTTTATGCTGTGAAGCATGTATTATCTGTCAGCTAGATAATTCTAAAAAGCAGTTTGAGAAATATAGATAGCTTGTTCACTTTATACTGACTCCCTTTAATTGATCTTAAAAATGATATAATGCCCCTTTTTGCTAAAGAAACCTTAGCATAAATTCCATGTTACCTGTTTGACATCAGGAAAATACCCTCCCTAATGAGCAGCGTGCTAGGGTTGGATTGCTGGCTTGTGAAAGCTCTACTGGAGTACTGCTCGTTCTGCCCCGTTAGGGCTCTCCTGGGAGCCTAAGAGTGAAATTCTATGGTGGTTGGATTCTTGAATTGGAACCAGAACAAACTACTGGTCATGACTTATGTAGGAGTCTTGCAAGGCAGGATTAAATTTCATCCAGTAGCGGCTAGAATAATCAGCAACTTCATTTGAATTCACAAAGTAAACCAAAAAATTGCTTTGGCACATTTTTTTTTTTTTAACTGCACAGAATTGCAGTTGTGTGTGGCAGGCTTTTTTCAGGCTTGCCATCGAGACTTGCAAAATCAGCAGTGAGGTGCATCATTACTTGGTTATCAAGGGGTCAGAAAGATAATTAACTGACCATAGAATAATAAGAGCAATCAACATATTCTAAAATGGAAAAAAAAAAAAAAAACCCAAAGCTCAGAAATCAGGGCATGCTGTTAATTAGACTGCTGGAACTGCTATGAATTGTTGAAATATCCAGTTGAATTATTGAGAAAATCAAGTCAGAAATCTCAGTAGGGGGGCCTGTCATGGATAAGTGGCAAAGGAAACTGGGGGACTTTGTCAGAAAGATCCTGCCTTCTTGCCGTTTTTCTTTTCTAGTTAAAGWGAAAAGCCTAAACAGATATGGAGAGAAGCATAATAGTATTTAATACAGATATTCTGTGTAATACACACAGCAATACACCCACAAGTGTTATAATACAGCCGAGGCATTTCAAAAAGTGGGTTTGCTGGGACTAGGTCGATTTCTTCCACACACCATGGCCCTTCTCTCCAATCTAGAGCATCCTTTAAAGATCACACTGATGTTACCCAAATTGTGCCTGGCCCACAGCCAGTTCAGCTGCAAGATGCCATTTGCACCAGATCCTTTGGAATCATCTGAAACTTGGGCCTGCACACAAGTTGCTCTGCAGTTTGCYCTGTTCTTTCTGCTCAGCTCTGGATTAGGAGTCATCACAGTTTCCTTTGGTTTAATGCTTCGTCGCAAGCACTTGCTGCTGCTGCTGCTTGGGTCACGTTATGATCAGCGGCTCCCGTAGGAGCTTGTGAACGTTGGGGCCCAACTATGTGTGACTTCTGGGCCATCCCTGTATGTTTATAGGCAGAGGTTTTGAAAGGCCTTTCGAAAGACAGAGTTGTACTCAAAATCATGTGCTTGTGGATCTTTGTGGGTATTTGATACAGAAATGAAAACGTATCTGCTGGGTTGGGTTAATCTGATAAAACGTGTTGSTGCTGACATCTGAATTGTAGATCCAGAAGTAAAACAAGAAGCACCAAGCAACAGGATCACATTGTTTTATAGTCAGAGAAAAAAGAGAGGTCATATCCCCAGAATTTCTACAGGAGAGAGGAGACATTTCTTGACATGAAGGGTTTACTCTGCCTCCTGCCATCAGGGCACAGAGGGAGGCTTGACCTCAGGCAGAGCTGGCTGCTGCTGCRGTTGGGAGGTGGAGGTTGCTGAGTCCTGAGGGGAGCCTCTATCAACAGAGTGGTGGGTGTTCCCAAAATAATATCTGAYTCCTGGAGAATAGAGGTGTCAAGCTGCATCAAGGCAAGTGATGGCCTGTGTGCGCCCGCCGTGTGCCCTCCTAGAAGAGGCAGCCACCGTGTTAGGCAGGGGGAGGCCGACGAGGTCCTGGCAGGGGGGTGACAGTGCAGCAGCCACTGGGGCGGGCCCGGGGGTGTTGGGGAAAACTGGCCCTGGCAGCCCTCGTGTGCATGAAGTGAGGGCCGCGTTATCTAGCACAGCTTGTCCTGCTGGTACCTTGACTTACCAGCTTGAATTCATTTTGCAGTAAGGTTTTGTCTCTCTCAGGGGTGTAACAAAAACACTGATAATTTGACCTATCTTCCCCACAACAAAGCAGCTGATGCAGAGCTCCCCCGGACTTCACCAAGGTGGAAAGAACTAAGTCATTACTCTGTTCTTACTACCCTGAACTATGCTCAGGAAAGGGAGCTCCTGACAAAAGCCTCTAAATGCTTCTTCTCTTTAGGATGCTTTCCTGACAATAGTTGGCACTAACTAGATGCCAGAAGGTTGCGGCCCAGATGTGTTCTGCCTTGAAGTGGGAAGGACCAAGTTCACTGTAGAGAACTCCAGTCTTYGTATAGCTTTTGTCCTCTGTGTATCTAGGCAGGCAGTTGATGTGCTTTAGCTTGAGAGCTTGATATACTGAATCTGAAGTTTTGCTAACCTGCACAAAACTGCTTTGTGTGTGGGCAAAGTGAAGCAAGTCCTGTGCAGGTGCGTGCTCGAAGCTCCTGTTTGCTGCTGGAGACCACGTGAGGCTGAAGAGGGAAGAGAGGTACTTAGCTCCTGTAGGTTCTGTGCAGGGGAAAAGGAGGGCGGTGTAATGACCTGGAAGATCAGGTACAGGCTGGTGGTGGGTGGGCAGTGCTGCCGTGTGCCCRTCCGGACAAGAACAGGGAAGAGGGAATTAGGAGAGAAGTAAGGGGTGGCAGCTGCAACCCCAGGAAGGCTTCATCGGCAACGAGTGACTTTTTAGCCCAATGTTTTTACATCTTGATGATTAGCAGGTCTGGTTCTGAAGGTGATTTTATACAAGATGTGCTTGAAATATGAAATCATGACTTCCTGCGAATGAAGGTTGTTGCATTAGAGAGTTTGTTGTTTGCCTCTGGCCTTAAGTAAGTTGTAGTGTCCAAAGGTGGTGGGTACTCTGGTAGGTGGCCACCATTCCTGCGTTTCACACGATGGTGGCCCACCCTGGGTTAGTGGCTAGGAGTAAGAGGAAACTTCACAGCAGGTTTCTGAAGAACAAGTTTGAGGGTTTTTTTGTATTTTTCTTCTCTCTGAATCTTTGAGTACTATGAACCCGCTGTGTTCTATGAACCATTCTGTACTGTGAACCAAATTAGTTCTGCAAAGAACTAAACTTCCATGGTTTTTGTCAAGCTTTATTTTTTTTAATTTTTTTTCTATACCTGGAGAAAAAGTTGAGGATACGGTGACTCATTTAAAAAAAAAAAAAAAAAGCATTTTAAAGTAGACTTTTAATGCTAGTAGAATAATAAGTGCCAAATAGTGATGAATCACTACCTTATTTTATATGAACCTAGGTTCTGCAAGGTATGGTTGAAAATAAGTAATACATATACAGAATTACTGAAGAGAAGAAATGATCAGATCAGATGCTGAGACAGAAATTTCTTGAAATAAAAGCCTGCTCTGATAGTGTTACACTTGCATATTAAGCTATCTGTTGTGGATATAACTGTGGATATAATCCTTGTCTTGAGGCTAAAGATGAAGGGATGTGTGTATGCTTCCAAAATTTTAGCCCGTCAGAAGGATTTACAAATAAAAATTTCCAGTAGCCAGAGGATATTTTAGTGTATGTTCTTTCTTTTTCAGTCTCTCCTGATGATGAATRCAGTGTGTTCTTTTTTTAGTTGGCTCTATTGTCCTCCTAATGGGAGCTTGTTAAACATTGCTTCAGTGTCATGAGCTGTGCAGCTGCCGGCGTGCGTTCAGGTCAGTGCCCTGGGCAGCATCACACGGAGACTGCCCTAAGAAGCTGGTGTTACTTGGACACAAGGGGGTCCCTCAAATAAAACCCGATCGCTCTGTGATCCCTGAGCGACCACGCAAGAGAGGGWGGTTGTCCCTCTGCGCTGCCCTAAGCACAGTCGGCCGTTCAGCCTTCATGGACCCGCCACATGCTCCTTACCCCCTTCCTTTCCACTCGGCTGCTCCATGTACAGTCTGTGTAACACTAATCCCATGCTTACACTTATTAGGAGGCCCAGGCACTTGAGAGATTGCTGGAACAATGGTATCAGATTGAAGAAGCTCACATTAACCTTTTGGAATATTTCTGGGTGCAGCTTCAGTTGCTTACTTGCACTTTGTCTTTTCTTGGTATTCACTAGATGCCAATGCATATGATTTCTGCAGTGCGACTCTGTGATTCAGCRTTGTTTTTTCCTATGTTTCTGAACTCTTTCCCAGGTGTTTTGGTTTAACTCTAAGATGTGTTTATTGGTTTGGTCAGTTCTTGCTGCCTACGTGGAAGTAGTGGCCTCTCTGGCCCCTCTATGTGTTGTTTTTTTCTTCTGGGTATTGTAACGTAATATAATTCCCATATTTCTGGGGGAGACTGTCTCTAGGAGGAATGTTTCAGAGTTTCTAGACCACTTGTCGAGCACTTGAACTGAGTATATAATTGCTGGAGCTGTTATTGTTTCTTCAGGGTTTTTGCAAACACTTACCAAAAGGTTTTGTTCATTTGTTTTTGTTTTGTACCCAGGTGCATTTCTTGCAATGCAGATGTTCTTGAATGCCTTATATCCCTGCAGAGTGAATGTGTGAATGGTCTTAGTGCCTTGACTTTTGTTGGAGTGCTTGTTACCATGCACACTAAAGTGTCTTTGCTATTGACGGCTGTAACAGAGCTTTCTAACTGCTTGCTTTGCAAAGTAAATTTGAAATCTTAGTTTTGTGTAGTATTAGCAGTTCATGTAAGTGAGAATGAATAATTGCAAACTGAAACCTTTTCTCACAACTGCAGTGATTCTACAATATGAATGAAATTAAAATAAATATCTAGTAATTTGAGAACAATAGTTAATGTACTTAATATTTAGTGTATTACAAAATTTCTCTTATTTCTAAAGTGAATTTATTTGTATATTTTATATTGAAAGTTAGCAATCAGTACAGTGTACTGTATTACCTCTTCTGCAGCTTTGCTCCTACATGTTACATCTTTTTGGTTACAATATTTTATTTCATTTTCTTTTGTAGTATAAAGAAATGTAAAAATTACTATGAAGTCCTTGGCGTGTCAAAGGATGCTGGTGAGGAGGACATAAAGAAGGCTTATCGAAAGCTTGCTTTGAAATTCCACCCAGACAAAAACCATGCACCTGAAGCAACAGAAGCTTTTAAAAGTAAAATATCATCTTTTTTTAAACTTTATGATCAAACTATGGCAGAATAAAAGGAATTCATCTGCATTGATGGGTTGTCTTTTTATAAAATTGACAAGGTAGTGTTTTGTAACTACTATTAAACTCACCTTTTTTGGTTCTAAATTAGATGTGAAGTCTTACAGTACATAGACAGAAAACTTAGCAGAGGAATCTTGCTGACTAAAAATAACTGCAATAAAAGTAGCATTTTTCTTATATTTAAATTATTGTCTTTTTTCATCGATGATTAAATTTATGAACAATTTAATTTATCACTTCAGTCTAGCTTTTAAAGGTATCTGAGTTGTTAACATCCTGCCTGAGTAAAAGCAGTTTCATAATAGTATCTGAAATTAAAAAAAATTCTTTAAGGGATAGCCAGAGTTAAAGAGAATTGAGTTTGGTCTGAGGCAAGGGCATCTATTCAGATCTGGAGGTTAGGTAGTGCTGCTCATCTGTTGTATTGAGCAATCTTCCTTTAGGTTATTTCCAGACTTGCAAAATATATGCAAACAAAATCATGTTTAATCTCTTTAAATCTTTTTTATCAACTTGATCAAAAATCTTTCAAGCATTTGAGGAGTCTTTCTGATTTTCTTCTGTATTTAAAGAAAGCTGTTCTTTAATGAGATCTGTTTTGAATTGCTATCAACTAATCAAACACAGGCAAACAAACAGTTTAATTGTGGACCATAMTGGAACTGTATGGTTTCCTTATTTCATTTGCTATCACCAGAATAAGGTGTCTMTAAATTCTTAATTGTTGGGGGAAAAAAAAAAAAAACTAGACTTCTAGTAATATTTTTGTCCTTGTGCTGAGTAGCAGTACCCAAATATATCAGTATTTGGTATTATTAGTGTATAACCTGCTCCCCATTTAACTTACCAAACTTGATTTCTTTGGGTTTCTTTTCCCCACAACTACTAATGATAACTTCTAAGGTCAACTGAAAATCACATAGCAAAGACTCCATTAACATTTTTCAATTGGAAAGTGCTGAAAAGTCAAGCTGTGCAGAGCTGTAGTCTTATTTGTTGGTGATGAGTTGTAGTGCTGCAGCTTTCACCATCTTGTGATGCCTGACGGGTTTTGGGGCCTGGAAAAATGCAATTCCTGTGACTTGTGTGGATTGGCTGCAAAAGAGAAGCTTTTTGTCGGAGAGACAAGGAGTGGGGGAAGAAAGAAAAGCCGAAAGAGTCTAGTGAAGATAAGGTTGAGGGGGAATTATTTACTGAGTGTCAGTGGAAAATTTCCTTAAGTCTCAAAGAGCTTAATCAAAGAGCAAACCACTTTTGACTCTCATACAGTCAGCAGAACTCGTGGTCTGTTCACACTGATTCTTTCCTTGTTCATCTATACAAGTTTTCTTCTTGCTGCTTTCATAAATCAGATTAATGCCGTGTTATCACAAACTAATTAATGTACTGGGGCAAGCATCCAGGCCAGGCATTCCAGATGTTAAGGTTATTTCAAAAAATTTAGGAACATGTAATTTGGCATGTGATCAGGAACGTTCCTGTCGCACACAGTTTCTATTCTTCATATTACAGCATGCAAGCATTGGTTATTCGTATTCTCTAAAATGCTAAGCAGCATATGTGAAAATACATTCAAACAGTTAGAGACAATCGTGGTGATGTGTTGCAAGCTACCGCTCACTAATAATAATAATAATAAAAAAAAGACTATAATAATTTCTACCCTGGGCTGCAGTTACCCCCATTTCTGAATGTTCATTGTAATGCTTTATTCTTTTCTGTTTATTGCAGCAATACTGCAAGGAGGAACAAAACTGTGCCTAGTTCACCAGAATAAAAAGCTTTTGGATGGTGTTGGTGGGAAACTTGGTGGAAACTATGCTGCTATAAGTAGAGATGTTTCAGGGCTTAGTTGTACTATGGTTGATTTGTAGCAAAAAGGACATCCATCTCTGCCTGTTGTTGACTTGGAAATTGCAGTTTTTGTGCTGAAATAGCTCTTATCTTTMATTTATGGGAGCTGTCTCCTATTCCTTGCTCAGAAATTGGAAATGCGTATGCTGTGCTRAGTAATCCAGAGAAGCGGAAACAGTACGACCTCACAGGCAGCGAGGAGCAGGCTTGCAGCCACCCCAGCAACGGCAGGTTCAGCTTCCACAGAGGCTGCGAGGCAGATATTACTCCGGAAGATCTATTCAACATGTTTTTTGGAGGGGCATTTCCGACAGGTATTTGTCAACATCACCTTTCTCATCAGTATTCGGTGGTGTTGACCAGAGAGGCATTAAATGCGCCATTCCAAAACAATAAAATTACTCCAGAATATGTGTCCCCATCTCTTCAGTTTATTATCAGAGTTTATTTTTCTCTGAAATATTGCTAGATTCCAGTAACGTGAATTCCCTTCTTTGGAGTTATCCTTACAGTATATGAAATAAGTTGATTGTTTATAGAGCTTTAAATATTTATTTCAAAAGGCTGAAATTGCAGCATATCTTTAAGTTGAATTAAGCATCACCAGTTGAATTAAGCATCACCATGCAATAATGTTAACCACTCTATGTTGTTGCCCCTATATTGGCTCCTAGATTTTTTCCCTTTGTTACATTATACATGTTTTAAATACGTTTTTCTTTTTCCCCTTAGGTAGTGTACATTCATTTTCTAATGGTCGTGCTGGCTACAGTCATCCCAACCAGCACCGTCAGAGCGGGCATGAAAGGGAAGAAGAAAGGGGTGATGTATGTTGAAGTGCCATTGACTTCAAATTGTGAAATTTGCTGGTAGTTGTTCTCAGTGATGTGACTGTGAGGGAGCTCTGTGCTGCAGAGCAGAGCTTAGGCTTGCCAGCTGCATGCTTTAAACYTTGGGCAGGTGGTAGTCTTAGGGGGTTGATATAAAAACACATGCAATTTTTAAGAAGAAAATAGTGCATTTTTGCAAGTTTGAATGTCGCTAACAAGCTGTGACCCACTGTGTCAGTAATCCTGCACAGTAATCCTCGTCTGCATTAAGAGTTGAGTTGAGGCAGGGCTTGTGTTTTAAGTTCAATAGCCACTCCTAGGTACGAGTTATATGCAATCCTATGTAATTATAACCTCTGTCTAGATGAGACCAAATAATGGGAGTCCTGTATAACTGGATGAAGTCATTTATTTGGTAATTGTTTGTGTGTTAACCCATGAGCTCTTGTAGCTCAGCACATTGTGAATATTGTGCATGTATTAGAAAGCTCAGGTAGTATCACAGATATGRTACTAGCTGAATACTATCTGATCATATGATATTATCTGTGCATTATAGAACACGAGCACAGAATATGTGCAAACCTGCAGCTTTGCAGGTTACAGCAGTGCTTGTAGTCACAGTTTTCTTAGCAGCTTTGGGTGCTTAAGCATAAAGTAACAGTTAGGATTAAGTCTGTTTGTTTCTCTTCTGTTCTTTAGGGAGGCTTCTCGATGTTCATTCAGCTGATGCCTATTATCGTATTGATCCTTGTTTCCTTACTGAGCCAGTTGATGGTATCTAACCCTCCCTACGCTTTATATCCAAGACCGTAAGTAACGCTGAGTTACTGTTAGCTTGGAGCAGGGTAAGGTGTCGTGATCTCTTGCCCCTGGGAGCCTTTTAGGGAGTTCTGCATTGGTCAGACTGTGATTTTTTTCACAGCAAGGCAAAGAAGAAAAAGCACAGATGAAGCAGAAATGGAGGGAAACAAAACTTGCAAGGTAGATACTGAGAACACACTGTGGGAATGTCRTGGAGAAGGAGGTTAGCAGTAACTGGCGCTTACAAGAGCCTGCTAATGTGAGGCAGGGAGTCCATAAAAAATAGCATGTCACAAAAACGCCTACATCTCAGGCACGTTTAATCCAATCCTGAACCCTGTTAAGGCTCATTTCTCTTTTGAACTAGAGAAATACTAGAGGAATTGTCTGTTCCTTAATTCATTCTAGATGATAAGATAGTTTCTCTGCTGCCTCACAGACTATTCTGATAGTGAAACCATCTGTTTTATGCAGAAGGGTGTATAAGTCTCTTTTCCTCGAGAAAAATAAAAGGTGTATTGAAGTGTTAAGCTTTCAAAGAGCTAACAGTCTGCTTGCCCCACTGGCCATTACTGTTTTAAAGATTCTCTGACCCGTAGAGCTCACAGCTCCACAACAGAAGGGCTTCTTTCTCCTTTCTTGTTTCTTGGTGTTTTCTAGTTCTGGATTGTGATGTTGTTTCCTTATGCAACTAAGCTGTTATGATGCTTACAAACACCTTTCTGCCAAATTTTTGCACACAATCCTGGATTTCTAATGTGCAGAAGGCAGCATCTCACTAAAGCTGATTTTTTGGGATTAGCAGTGAAAATGGCAGTTTATTGTCCATGTAAAGTTGTAATTTCTAATAAAATATACAGCCATTCATATCATTACTTGTGTTGAAATAGCAAAATCRGTGACATGCTGTTGTTCGTCTTTAATAATAATTTTTTTTTAAAGTGTGTATGCTGTTAGCAATAAATAAATAGATAAAAATCTACTGTCTCTCCTTATCTCTCCTGCAGAAGTACAGGACAGACCATTAAAATGCAGACAGAGAACTTGGGTGTTATTTATTACGTCAACAAGGACTTTAGAAATGAATATAAAGGAGTGTCGATACAGAAAGTGGAGAAGAGTGTGGAAGAGGATTATGTGTCCAACATCCGTAATAACTGTTGGAAGGAGAGGCAACAAAGTAAGTTTGCTGTTATGTGTAATTATATAAAAGCTATTATGTGTAATTATATAAAAGCATGTATTATTAAAAAAAAAAAAAAAAAAAAAGGAAGAAGAAGAAAGAAGGAAAATTGTGTTAGGCTGAGTCACGTGACCCTATTGTGAATATACCTGAATGAAAAAGCAAGTGTGAAGTTTCCTAGTGTTTCTCACTTCTCAGATTGTCACAGCTAGGATCACTTAATTTCTCTTTTACTCAATGACCAAATAACCATCTGCAAATAATCCACATTTTTAACATGTTCTATTGTCTGTGGCCATTTCTCAGAAAATTAATGATTTATAGTGGAAAAGAAAGAAAAAACTGCTAAGGAAAGKGTAAAAGCTGAGAACTCCGATTTCTTCCACATAATTTTATCATGGCAGTATTTCATTTTTTGTTGTGTATCCGTTGCAGTTGTGTACCTTTCTTATAAGCCAGCCCTATACATTATATACTGTATATATTATGTATATATTGAGCATCCTTATGATACTGAATGGCATCAGAGCCTTTTGGGCTCTGTGAGAGCAGCTCACGGTGCTAACGTCAGAAACACATGCTGGTAAAATCAGTAATATCTGACAGAGGCACAGCTCATTTACGGGCTGGTATCAAACTCGTCACTGGCAAGGAGCAAACAGCCTAAATGAAGTCCTGTGATTTCAAGGATAATCTTGAAATGTTCAAATATGGCCACATTCCAAGAAACAAATACCTAATTTCTCATCTATGGGTGGCTTCTAGATAAAGGATCAATAGTCTCAAATGGAAATAAAATACTGAAGTGTAATGAAATGGCTCACAAAAATAAGAGTAGTGATTGTTATTAAAAAAATGCAAATAATGGGAAAAAAATCATGGCTGGAGAAACATCTCACACTGGTATAAAGGAGAAAAAAAAATGAGGGATGTGTCTGTCATTTTAATTGCTACTTGCAATTTATGAAGCTGTGAAAACTACCCAGATTGATTTCGAAAAAGCAGTCCCTAGTGGAGTTCCTCTGTATTTTATAGATTTAAAATGTGTTGTGTTTTAGATCTGCTTGACAGTTAAAATCTTCTTTCCAGTGTTGACTGACGTTTAAGAATGCTTTGTTAACCCATCACAAGTTGAAGAGTTGAAAAAGATTGCATAAAAGTAAAATTCTGAACCATGTCAAGCAAGTGAGAAGCTGGTGAAGGGCAGTGTCACACTGAGAGCTCTCGTAGCAAAGCCCCTCAGCTCCAGCAGTGTAAAGCAGCGTGAGCCAAGTCACAGGCCTAGCAGTCGGGGTGGTTTTGGTGCCCCGACAAGACGTTAGAGCTGTCTGTAACGTGCAGGGTCACCGAGTGTGCTGTTTAACACAAATACCTGAGAGAGAAGTAGGTTTTGTAGTTAGGGACTGTCGTGTGAAATAGGATGGTCCAGAAAGGCTGTCACCTCTTTCACTGCTCCCCAAGATGAAGAGCTGGTGAAGCCCCTGTGACAGGGCCATGCAGGGGGAAAAAGGGTGAGGTGGTTTGGACAGCCCTGAGAAAGGAATACGTCATGTCTCGAGTGTTCTGTTCCTAACCTGAAAAATCTCTTTTTTTCTTTAATTAAAGAAACAGACTTACTGCATGCAGCAAAAGTGTACCGAGACGACCGGCTCCAGAAGAAAGCGGACTCCATGACTATGGACAACTGCAAAGAACTGGAACGGCTGACCAGCCTCTACCGAGGAGGATGAACTAGGATGGCACGTGTGCATCCTTACGTGTGCTGCTGTCTCTCTCGCAGATTAAGAAGAGGTTTAGTTTCATCATGAATGCTGGAAAAGAGGGGTGGATGTAAAACTCTACTGTGTAGCTGTTTCCAGAAACCTTATGCTGAATTATAATTTAATGGCTTCTTTACCTACTGTGAAATATAGGTACTTGTTTAGATACTTTACTTCAAAGCTTCTGTGAATTCCTTCAGCAGAGAGAATAGCTCAGAAAGGATGCTATACTTGTAGAGATATAGTCATAGTGGTTCTCCTCTAACATATTTGCCATGTAAATATCTCTGGAAAGAACACTTTGTGTATATATGAGTTAAATGACTTTCTATTTAAAACCTCAGAAATCTAGTTCCATACAACATTTTGTCTCACTGATGGAATTACATCACTCCTATTCAGATGTCAAGTGTGTGGAGTTGAAACAGAATTTTTAATATTTTATCTCTAACACTATGTAAAATCTTCTAGGTTTACCAGCTTAGAGGAACTTGATATTTTTAAATATAATGACGTATATTCCTAAATATATGTTGGGGTATATTGATCTGATGTAGAGTAGCAGTTAGCTGTTGTAGTTTTTTTTTTCTGTGTGTTTCTAAGCAATGCTAAGAAAACTAAGAACTAGAGTAATCTSTTTTCAAAGTAAATATTTGCACATGCTGTACAGACCACTATAAGCATTGCTTTTGGTACCTGCAAGAGTTTACAGTAATTAGACTATAACGGACATCCACAGCTTCCTTAATTAATCTTCACTGAGAAGGAAGGAGAAAATACGCAATAGCAAATCTAGAGTTTAAAAAAAGGCAATTTAATATATTTTTTCCAGGGAGACTCACTTAATTTTCTTACTGTTTTTTATTTGAAGCTGGGTCCTAACCCTGATTCCCCATGGGCACCAGAGGCGGAGCAGGGAGACATTGCTGGGGACGAGCTATGTGCCTTTCAACGCTTTTGCCAACTGTTTAACTGCTTTGCTAGTTTGCAGGATGCTTCTGCGGGCAGAGCCGTGTCACTGTCCCAGGACAGGCGCTAAGGAAGCGGCCGGGAAGCGTTTGTGCTTCTCGGGCCCCGAGTGTCGCTGGAGCGACCCCCTGGAAATGCCCAAGTTGAGCTCTGAGAACAGCAGCTTCGTGCAGCTCCGGGGCCTGTACGTGGAGACTGACTGTAGCTACACCTGCTAATGCAAGTGAAGAGGCGTTTTGGAGCAGCTAGGTACAGTGTACCACAAGCTTATGTAGACAGTGAGCTGGAAACCTTTTAGGTCCAGTAGCTGTTGTTTCTACTTTTTAACAGTGCKGTGTAGCAGAATGCTTTCTTGTATTTGAGAATGCCAGGTGGCCCATAACAAGGGCAGTACTTTTTTTGTCAGAGAAAACAGTTGTCTTAAACAATGCAATCAGTTCATGTGGATCCAAATTCTTCTAAAATGAAAATTTAAGTACTTGACTAAACTCCTTTTGAATTCCTTCTGATCCAGACTTGTAGTTGGAGGAGAGAATCCCCTRGACTGTAGAAATACATGAAGTGGTGCTGCGCTGAGTAGCCCGCCAGTCAGTCTGCACATCTGCTTTTTATAAACTTGTGGTGTGTGGGGGTGTTTGTGTGTATATATATATATATATATACACCCACATATATATATATATAAAATATATATATATATTTATATATATATTTATATATATATAAAAACTTGTGCTATCACCAGAGGGACTGGCTGCAGGGTTTTAGTAGAGCAGCAAAAGCACCATCCAAAGTGAATGTGAAGAGCTGAGGCACAAAACAGAGCTAAGAGCTGCTGAAAGAAAGAGGGGGCTGTGCTGGATGTCCTTGCTACAGTTACAGGGTGAGTGGGAGGAGCTGATGAAAGATGCTCAAATGTTTGAAGTTTACAATATAAATTTATGGAGAAAATGTGATTCCCCAAATTTTGCAACTGTCTGGAATGTACTGTAAATATAATAATGAAAACAAACTATCAGAGTACATATCGATACTCCTGTGTGTTCTGTGTGAAGAAAGCTACGTGTATTTCAGAGGCMTTAGCAAGTACTCGGGCCTTCTGATTCCCAGCTGAGTCTGAGCTTGCAGGCGATCCCTTAGTTAATGGAGGAAACCGTATGCATAGCATCCAGTATCGACACCAGCGTGTCAACTTTGGGGACACGAAGAGACAGCCCTAGCAAAGATGTGCGAAATAATCTGTTGGGATTCCTGTCCTGCGGTCCCTTCTTCATGTGAGGAGGTGGTAAATGAGCCGCTGCTGAGCAGCACGGCGCTGGTGACATCCCTGCCAGCCCCTGCGCAGACGGGAATCGTGTCGTGCCTGGGCTGGGTGTCCACAGAGGTGGCCGGGGCGCTGACAGGGAGACAGGCGCTGTTACTTGCGGTTGTTTGGTCTGGGGGTTGGACCGTCTCTTGTAATCGCTCCGGTTGCTACTTTTTTCTTGAGTCCAAATTTTTTTCCTTCAGAAATGTCATCGTCTTCTCAGGTTTTGCTCAAGGAATCTGCTGGAAAGTTGAGGGTGGATTTTTTTATGAAGATGCTAATGGAACAGGGTGAAGTGGTTCAGCCTTTTCAGGCGAGCTTTCTTCAAAAGGCTAAGCACACATACAGTTAAGATAGTGGAAAGAAAGGGGAAAAACAAATCTGCTTTTGAGCAGCCTGACTGGAAAAAAACTTCCTCTTTTCCAGCTGCTTCAAATTAACTTGATGTAGTCATGACCTCTGTGTGTCTTACCTAGAAGAAAACATAGGGCAAACAGGGGTTCTTGTTTTCTCCTCTAGAACAGCAAGTAGGGAAATCTTTCCAACAGTGGGAATCTTAGTGTGCCACCCTGACACACCATAATGAGGAAAGAGAGGTGATTTGCATCTGCTCAGATAAAACATCGATATCCCTTCTATTTATGGAGCATCCTGAGTCACGAGCAAGTGCAGTGTTCGCATCTGCGGGAACATTTGCCTCCCCCTGGTTTGGGAAAACAAGGTTAAGTTTGAATTAGTTTTTTTTTTTTTTTTTTTTTTAAAGTTTCCATTATTTTTGAAGTTTCCAAGCAATGTGAAAGTAGATAGTACTGAAATGTAACAGGTGCCTTTAGACAGTCACCAGAGGCAAGTGTAAATTACGGACCGTTTAAATACCCTGCTGTAATGAATGCTCTGAAAGGATTAAAGCRGATGGGCCAAGCCAGGCGTTCGGAAGGCGGTTCGCTCGGGAAACGCGCTCATCCCGAGTCCCCGTCCTCCTCCCTCTCCCGCGCCGGGCCGGGCGCCCGGTGGCGCCGCAGGGATGGCGGCGGGGCGGCTCCGTGCAGCGGTCCCGCGGCAGGCGAGGCTGCGGCCGGCGCCGCTGTTCGCCCCTTCCCGCACAGGGGCCTGGGGCAGAGCCCCCGCAGGCCCCGGTGCTCGCAGCGACGGCGGTTACGGCCGTTGCGGGCGCGGTCCCCGTGCCCCGCCCCGTTGCGGGGCCTCCTGGCCACGGCTGCTCCAGGCGCAATCTCAGCCCCCCCCCACCCCGCGGCGCTTGGCCCTTCCGCCGCGCCGTAGCCGCCGTCCCCGCGCGTGCGCGGTAGCGCCAACCCGCGGGACGAATGTGGCGTTGCCTCGGCCAGGAAGCGCTTCCGGGGGAGCGGCGGCCGCGCCGTCACGTGACGGCGGCTTAAAGGGGAAGTGCCGGCGGCGGCGGCGGCGGCGGCGCGGTGAGTGCCGCGCTCCCCCCTCCCCTCCCCGCCCCCTTCTCGGCGACCGTTTGTCCGTTGTCCCCCAGGGCCGCGGAGGTGGCGGCGGCGCCGGGAGCGCCCGCGAGCCATGGCCGACGTAAGTGCGGGCCGCGGCCCGGCGGGGCGGCCGTTGGGCGCGCGGGCGGCCGTTAACGGCCCGGGCGGGGGCGGGGGCGGTTTCCCCGCGCGCTGCCCTCACGCCGCTGTCTCCCCGCAGGACCTGAAGCGGTTCCTCTACAAGAAGCTGCCGAGGTAACGCGGCGCGGGCGCTCGGGTACCGCGTCCCCTGTTTATTATAATAAACCTCGCTTGCTGTGTTCCCTGTTTATGATATCCCTCGCTTATTGTGTTCCCCATTTGTTACATTCCTCGTTTAACCCCTGTCGACASACTGTGGTTATTGAGCAGAACGGGTTTCCCAAGTCCCTCCCAAGTAGCGTCCCGTGACGGGCAGAGCCTCTCGAGGCGTTTGGTCCCGTGGTCCTCTCCCTCTCTTGTGCAGGATCAATAAAAATAAAATAAAAAGCCTTTGCCACAGATTACTGCCCATTCAGACGGTGTTTGTTTGCCCCGCAGCGTTGAAGGTCTTCACGCTATCGTCGTGTCGGACAGGGACGGTGTGCCGGTTATCAAAGGTAAACGTGAGCCAGGAGCGCCTGGGTGAACAGCGGGGTATGGGAAGCTTTCCTGGGGAAGATGGCAGGTGTCTGTGAATATCAAAATTTAAAGATTTGCATTAGATTTTTACCCCAAGTTTAATAGCATRATGTGTACCGACCATTAATCCGTGTGCTGCTTCTGAAGATTGTCCCGTAGCGCTCAGTTGTTGGAGAAGTTTTGGGAACAAATAACATGTCCCATAAACCACATGTGCACTGGGGCAGCACTAAGCTCTGTGAGGATTTGCGATGCAGTCATAGATCCCGCGTAAAAACAAAAATGTCTTTTTTTTTTTTTCCCCCCTCCACCCCGCCAGTGGCCAATGATAATGCTCCGGAGCACGCGCTGAGACCCGGCTTTCTGTCCACCTTTGCCCTTGCCACAGATCAGGGCAGTAAACTGGGGCTTTCAAAGAACAAAAGCATCATCTGCTACTACAACACGTACCAGGTGAGGCCAGGGAGCCGAGCAGCCCCTGCCCGAGCAAGGGAGGGGGCTGCCCGGGCCGCCAGCAGGCCGACGTTCRCAATATTGGTCGGGCTTCTCTCCTGCTTCGTGAACCTGAGAAGATTTGCTTGTTGGAAGTGGCGGGTTTTCTTTCTCTGGAGCAGGCAGTAACCAGCAGCTTGCTGCATGTGCTGTCAAAACAGCCTGCAGGACTTCTTATGGGGGGTAATGCGTTCTTTTATAAGCAAATACTTGTGTGTTTATGATCAGAGCCATCTAACACACATCCAGCTTACCTCAGTTATTCCTGCAGCAAATACGACTTCAAGAAAAGAACGTTTTGAAATAGCACATGCAGTGGATCACAAACTGGGAAATATCTRTTTGTGTCCTGAAACCTGCCATCCAATAAGGTTTTGCTCACTTTGAAGTCCCAGTAGTCTTAAAACCTTTTAATATGACCACAGTAAACTGGCAGCCACTTAAGCTGCACTGGGCAGGTCTGTGTGCAGAGTAACTGGTTGGATTAATGATTTTACACACAGGAATATCCTGCGTTGATTCTCTTGACACAAGTAATATATTGCTGTGCTCACAATCTGAGCCGCCCAGCTGAGGAAAGAAGTACTSCTGTACACTGAGTAGTGTATAACATACACTTACATTAAAGCAATAGACCTGTCTGCCCTCTCCCCATCTATAGCGAGCGCGATGTCCGCACTGTCCTGTGCAGCTTCCCAGCTGGGCTGATTSCAAGCAGGTAACTGCAGAAGATGAGCAGGAAGGAAACACCAGGCTTTCCATGAACAGCTTCCTGTGCTGTGAGCTCTCGTGGTGCTTTTATCGATAAATGTTGAGCAATATATAGCTTAAAAGCCAGCTGTAGGGTTCTTGCTCCTGCTTGCCTTCTGCCTTGCGGAGGCCGCTTGCCGCAGGAAGCGAGTTTGCCTCTCCAAGCTCTGACATCGGAGGCTGCTCCCTGACTCTTGCTCCTCTTCCTCGCAGGTCGTGCAGTTCAACCGCTTGCCTTTGGTAGTGAGTTTCATTGCTAGCAGCAACGCCAATACCGGTAGGTCCTCGTGATGTGTTTTAAATGTTATGGCATGTTAAGMCCCAGATGTGTGAATAGTTGAAGATGGATTACCTGCATTTACTTGAAGGTATCTTAACTCTGCTTCTGCTATCAGTTTTGTTAGAAAAAAGTGTTGTGGGGGGCTGGAAGGAGGTAGAAATTCCTGAAGGTTCTTGGTGACTTTCTGAAAAGGCTGCTGTCAGTTTGAGTTTCTGTTGCCTGTCTCTGACTTCATCCTTGCTTCTGTGAGAGAATTCACTGCCCTGGCAGTGGGTGTACAGGATTAACCAGTTGTTTTCCATTAGGGCCACATAAAATATATTAAAAAAAAAAAAAAAAAGAAGAAAGAAAGAAAATCTAACAGTTCCTAAACTGTTGCCAGGCCTGTGTAATTGCACTCCCCGCTCTTGTGATGCKGCTGCACTTACGGGGCACGTGCCCCCAGGGCGGTCGTGGCCGCCAGCAGTCACGAAGGCAGCGCAGGGCCGGAGAGGGGGTCTCCCGCTCCATCCTCTCACGGCATCTTCTGTGTTGTCTTTTCCAGGGCTGATTGTCAGCTTGGAGAAGGAGCTCACGCCCCTCTTTGAAGAGCTGAGGCAGGTAGTTGAAGTTTCCTAACCCGACAGCACAGCCCGCGTCCGGCAGCTCACAGAGAAGGAGATGGAAGAGTCAATAATCCTCGGTTGAGTAACGCGCCTCGGAAGAAATGCCACCTCCCCCTTGTGTACTAAGTAAGAATAAGTTGTACATAGTACTGAATCTGAAATGATTTACTAGTGCGTTGTAGATGGATGTTACTTTAGGCCACGTTTCCTGTATTGTGCAGTAGTGGAGAGCCCACCAAAGTACAATAGCTCCCATGGAGCTTAGCTCGGCCAGCTGAGCACGGGATGAGCAGGATACTGCGGGCTCCAGGGAGCAGCCTGCAGCTCCCTCGCTGCACAGGGAACTAGCCCTACGGCAGGACGTATCCTCTGAGTAGCTACCACTTCCTGATGGAAAACAGATTTAATTGGCTACAAAATGTTGTCAAAGATGTGGTTGGAAAAGAGCGTTATGAAAGCAAGTTTCCTAGCGGTGACGTATCTGTACAATCAATAAATCCCCCCTATTTTGCGGATTGGTGATGCTTTGGAGAAGAAGTTCTGTTAATCCGGGTGTCAGCTGCATCCTGCTTCCACACAAGAGCTGTTCTTGCAAAAGCTTTTGCTTCACGGGTTTTCCTAGTGCCCAGAGAGACGGGYCCGCCCCTCCCCTGGATGGGTTTGTGTGTAATAAGGGTGTGACACTCCTATGTTTCATGCTCTTCGTGTGGGTTCGTTACTGGTGACACTCTCGGCTCATTTACCCTTGGTTTTCCTAAGTAAATAAATCTAAATAAAATACAATATTTTTAAACGAGAGCCTAGTTGCTGTGCTGTGACATCCTGTAACGCGCTGGAGTTTCCGTGTGGAGAAGGGGCRTCAGCTGCTTGCGCAAAACCTGGGAGTTCACAGGAGGAAAACTAAGCAGCTCGGCGGGATCTTGTGGATGGATCCGCAAGCCCTGGTTCGGGATACTGCCGGGGCCACTGACCTGTGCTGCCTATGAGAAGGAGGGCTGCGCTGCTGGCCTCCTTTCCGAGCTCTCCTCCCAGAACAGGGATGCGCCAGCAGAKTATCGGATCTCTCTCTCCCCTTGTGCTGCCTCTACCTCATGGAAAATCAAAGCATTTTAATTAAATTATGGTACAGAGATACAGCAGCMTTCTGCAAGTTTTATAATGATGTTTTATTCTGAAAATTCTCTATGAAAATTTTTTACAAATATTTGGCTTTTCTAAGTTAAAGTAAAATGTTATTCCTAGGTCCAAATGTGGATTCCTTTTTCCTTAATCTGTTTTTTCCTTCTCTTAACCCTTCTCCCAGTACAGGCAGTTACTGAGAGCGGACTTGCTACCTGAGCATAGCACTGGCCAAGGCCACCTGCACGTTGGTCTTTTACCCTGCTTCATCTTGAAAATGTCTCGTGTGCCACGTTTTGCTTCTAAAATGTGACACCTTTCCAGCCCCAAAGGACTGGCCTTCCGCTTGCAAAACTCCAGTGAGCACAGAAACTATTCAGTCTTCAAAAATACATCAGGTTATTTAGAAACTGTATTTCTGTAAACTCCTAAGTTATTTTTAGAAAAGATTGTGCTCTTCTATTAATGCTGCTYATTTGTTTAATATAAAGCAAGCAGCGCTTAATTCTGGAACATCAAGTTCTCTTGTTTCATCTACCATATTCTCTACAGGGAGGGAGGGACACGCACAAAATCCCCCCTGTTTTTAAGGGAGGATTTTTCGGGATCCCGCTGGGTGCTGCTAGGAGGGCCGGTGGTTGCTGCAAGCAGAGATGTGCAGAGCCGCAGTGTCGCCCACCCGGGGCTCCTGTGGCAGCCGCCTCCTTCCTCTGCCCCTGCCCACGGATCGCTCTCCTGGCGCTGCCCGCTGCTGCCAGCACGGGGCCAGTTCCACAAATGCCCCCAGGAGTCTCAGTGTGAAGCTAAACCACATGGAAATGTCTGACAAGAACGAAGTGCTATTTGTCTATCACTTTGAAAAGGGCCTTGAAATAAGTTTAATCTTTGGCTTGCAACACAGGCATTATTTACACTCACAGCTATGGGAAAGCATCAGCTCTGACATTCTGCTTTTAACTTGTGCCCTGAGCAGGTACTCCAGAAGACATTTTCAAAGTTTCCAGAAAAGAATTAAAAATCAGCACGTGCTGCTGAAGGTTAGTTGCGATGGAGCTCGCAACACATCCTCCAGGGTGGTCTCTCTATTTCCACAGCCCCTTTAAGCAGTGAGTACCCCTGCGTGGGAGCTGAGCACGTTTCACAAATGCAACCCCTGCGTTACCAGACCAGCGCGGGGGGTTTTTTGCCACGGCCTCCGCACGGCAGTCTGGGCGCGCTGGGCCGGGTGGGCGCTGCCTGTGTCCGCAGGGCCCCGCGCAGGCACAGGATCCTCCTGGAGCCTCTGGAAACTGTCCTCGTGTCCGGCTGCYTTCCCCTGGCAGAGACGGACGCGGCGCGCGGGAATGGGAGGCGCAGCTACGGYGTGAGGGGGGCGTCGCGCTGCTCCAGCTGCTTCCGTATTTGGGACTAGGACAGAAACACAGCGCGTCACTGCCTGGGCAGGGCCGCCTCGAGGAGGACAGCACATGCCTGCGTGGTGCTTAGTCGGTGTCAACACYGACTACAGCAAGTAGCTTTTTCAAAGCTTTACGCTGTCTGCTTGTTGCTTTCTCCACAATTTAACACGTGCTGTCTGTGATGCTCTGTACTGTTCATATTCTTTGTGAGACAACATCCCTACAGGTACAAGCAATTCCTCCTTCATAACCAGGATGTGTTACACCCCAAAAATGCTAGAGCAGGTTTGCAGGCCTATACATTATCAGAACTACACATCCCAGTGTAGCTGGCCAGCAGGGCAGAACAATTGCTCCCCTCCTTGCAGATCCCAGGAACTGTGGCACTTAATAATTGTTTTCTTTCCTTCCAGCAGTGCCAAGGGCACCACGGGCTGCCTGAAGTGTGCGGCCATTTAGCAGCACCTTACCAGTTTCCAGCGCAGGATTTTGATCCACTCATCTGCTTCTATTCCAGTCTTTGCACACAGGTAGTATGTCCTTAGCGGGAACACTAAGCTGCAGGTAAAACAGTTGCAACTGTTTCTTAAATTGCTAAAAGAGTTGGTAGCTCCTCCTAAAACAGCACTATGTTCATTAAGGCTGACACAGAGGGGCTGTGTGCTTGTACAGGCCAAGTGTCACTTACAGGCCTTTACGGACCGGGGACAGGCCGAACAGACCGGGGACAGGAGAAACAGCCACGTCTGGGCACGGAAGTGGTGGCTGTGTGACCCACGGCAAGGTTTGAACACAGGCTTGGGCAGCAGTTCCATAAACTTATACATATTAGTTATATATTAGGTTATATATTATAAACTATAATTTATATAAGTTATATAAGTATATATTATATAAATATGTTATATATTAGTTATATAACTTTATATTAGTTATATATATCCTTATATATAGGATTACAGAGAACTACAGAGAATAAAATACTCCTATTCCCTTCCTATTAACCAAGAAAGGCCCTTCGTGACAGTGGTGATTCCAGCCAAGCCGAGCTGGACACAGGGCGACAAGAACAGGCTSACACATGAGAGGGAGACCAGGATTGTGGCCATCAAAGTTGCTTTGAGAAGCAACCACATTTCAAATCTCCTGAGCTGTTCTGACCTTTCCCAAAAGGCAGAAAAATGTGTAGCAATTTACCAGAAGCAATTGACTCTTTCCTGGGAGTAGTCGAACTGCACAGCTGAGCATTCAGTTAGGTCCAGTGCCCGAATTGGTTCTGTGGCCTTGAAAATAAATGGGTGTTAAAATGGAAACAGAAGGTAAAACCACTTAAGCTCATCCTCAGTACACACAGACCTCCACACACCATTTTTTTCAGACATAGGTGTGAACTACAGCCCTGTAAACATAAACTAGCAAAGCTCATAGCAGGGCTCCTGCAAGAAGAGCTCAGGACAGGAATAGGAGAGTCAGTTTAGATGCAGACAAACAACAGAGTATGTCCCTAGCACAGGAGACTCAGAGCTCGCAGCCATACAGGTTTGATGCATTATAGCATGACCAGCATGATAACTGCTTTGACATCCCTTCCATAGCACTTTCCTAGGGAATGTTTGTACAGGGGYTTGCCCTAACCATCCACCGGAGATGGAAGTAATTCCCAAAGCGCTTTMAAAGGGCTGAAGCTGGAAAGGGAGATCCCCCAAAGGAGAGCTGGGACAGCAGCCGCTACAGCGGGAGCGGCGGTTGTGACCGGCTGAACAACGTGCACATCCAAGGGCGTGGGTTGTGCGTGGGGACTGCGCGTCACTAGCACCTGATCCTGCGAAGAGCTTGATCCCGCTCAGGTGTGAGCACCCTGGCCTCGTTGCTTCTCTCCACCTCACCTGGTTTAGTGCTTTATAAGAGGCAGCTGAGGGGGAGGAGCAGCCTCCTCCTTGCTGGAGCAGCYTCTGGTGTGTGAGCCACGTCCCACAGCTCAGCAGCAGCAGCAGCAGCAAGGGGAGCACCAGGAGGCCCACCAGGAGGCCCTGCCGCCCCAGGGAAGGGCAGGGGAGGATGGAGGCCTCCTTCTGACRAGGGTTCCTTCTTGCTGGGTAAGTCACAAATGCTGCTCAACTGCTTAGTGCTCTGCCCCCTGAAATGTTATCCTTGAAACCTAAGGCAGGTTGGCTCAAACTGCAATGAAAACTGATGGTAGGCCCATAAATCAAGAGCTGTTATAAATGGTAATGCTTGAGGGGAATTGTATCCTGGTGTGTTAAAAGCTCTTACACGTTTGCTGTGGGGCTTGGCAGAGGTATGTGAAGCTCAGGTAAAGGGTTTGGCTGTGTTTTTTGGAGGATATCTTAAATGGGGGTAGAGGTGCCCTGGAGATATGTCCTGGTTTTACTCAGTTTAAGATTAAAAAATGGAATAGGAATTGCAAGGACAAAATGTTTTTTTCCTAGCTGTAACAGGTTAATCTATGGCAAAAGGCTAGGAGGGAAGAGCCCTCTAAATGAGGGTCACCACAAACTGTGCAGCTTTTTGGGAATCAAAGGATTAAACCAAGGGAGGGAAAACATACATGCCACATTTGCAGAASTGCCCCAAAAGGCATGTTGAGTAAATGCCCCAACAGGCTGGCTGGCTCTTAGTTAGCTGCAGTGGTGACATGCGTGTAGGAAGCAGAGGTGTGAGGGAGCTGCACCTTTCCTCTGCAGAGACTTAGAGTAGAACTGGTGTTTGCTACTTACTGTCTGGTCTTTGAAATACTTGAGTTCGTTCCTGTGCAGCGTAAACCACCGTGTCTTCCAGTTCTGAAAGATGGGGACGGGAGGGAAATCCTCCTGTGAGAGCTGCAGTGTAACACGACGTAGGGAGAAGAGCCCTGGTTGTAGGTTGGCTTTGCTGCCCCCCGAGCACCCGTAACTATGTGCCCTATAGAGCGATGCAGGCAGAGCTGTCTCGGCTCCGGCTCCTCTCTGGTGGTGTGCGCGACTGCAGGGTGGAGGTCAAGAACAGAGCTTTTCTTACCTTGACTATTCTGCCTTGTTTGACCAAATATCCTTCTTTTGTACCAAGCTGTGAAGTAAGAAGGACAGGGAAGGGGGTTAGATGTGGGGCTGTGCTTGTATTTCAAGGAAAGGGAGGGGGTTAGATGTTGCCTTTATCCCTGTGGGGCAGCAGCCTATTGACGCTGAACTATCACTGCTTGCTCCATCYCTGCTCCTGCACGTGCTGCTCCCTTTGCACAGCCACATTCCTGCTGTGGGGGGAAAGCTGGGAGCTGTGAGAGCCCCTGCCCCTCTGGGCCAGCTCCTGGCTTGTACCTTGTCAATCACACACAGTAAACCAGAAGCAGCCAGGGTCTGATGGCTGCTTGAGTTGGACACAGCCGTCTCCTTGAAATACAAGACCTTGGGAAGAACCAAGAAGTGTTGTTTATTTGGGTGCTTCCTTCTATCTARGTTAACGGGGATAAGGTCGAAATTCAGACATGCTTATTGAACAACTGGCTTTCAATTCAGATGCTTCCTGAAACTCTATGTAGGGATCTAGTTGTGAGACTGTTCCCCTTTTAAACAGATTATTGTCTRGTGAATTGCTATTTGCTTTGGAAAAAAAAAAAACTGGGCTTGTTGGTTGTGTGTCAAAGGGTCATATTTCCTTGGAAATCAAGTTGGAACAGCCCAGCTGTGAATGACTGACAGATAWTAAAACTCTTCTATGTTTTAACCACTTTATGTTAATCCTTATTAATTTAACTCTTTTTCTCAAAAAAACAAGTCACCTTTCTCTCTGTTCTGGGCACTCCTGTCCTAGACAAAACACCTGTCTTGCTTGGATATGAGACACTAGGGATTTAAAGTCTCTAATTACTGTCCAAGTGAGTCACAGATGTCAGAGCAGGTGGCCCAAGTGGATATGAAGATGTTCTCTTGTTTCTCATACCAGAAAGGCAGAGCTTCTAACGTGACACAGCTTTTTTTACTGTGCTCATAATTATTAGGGGTGCAAGTAGGGAGGCTCTTCTCTATCGTRTTGCTGGACACGAGTCTGTGGCAGAATTCAGCAAGTGTTTTGGCGCTTTAAGGCAAGCAGATTGTGAAGGGTGGTGTGTGTATGTCTTTTTGAAGAAGCTTTGATCTGAAAATGTCATTTAAAAAATATATAATCAAGATCTGTAATAACCTCCTTGAATCATGCTTCGGGTTGGGGTCCCTTCCTGTCCTAGGAATACTTTATTTTTTTTCCCCTTCATTTCAAAGGGCCACTTTCTAATGATGTTAAAAAGTTGGAGCTGCTCTTTCCCTCTTTCCTGTGAGGCTGGACATTGCCAACTGTCCATAACATAAGAAATGGCAAATTTGTCTAGTATCACTAGCTGTTTGCTGTCAACTAATCCTCCTATTCACCAAGTGAGACAAAATGCGAGTAAATCTTGTGATAGTTTCCCAGTTCTGTTACTTGCAGTATTCCTCCCCTCACCTCTGGAGAGAAGAAACTTCCCACTGGCTGTAAAAGGTTTGCCCCACAGGAGCTTCCTGTGCAGCCCACCCGGGTGTTACTGGATACAGCCCCACTCCGGTCTGAAAGGACTGGGAGGGACCCTTCTCTCACGCTTGTCTTGTGGGTGTGTGGTGAGGGAGGAATTGCAGAGAAATCACTTAAAAGCCTCAAGCAAGGGGAGCAAATACAGAGGAGCTGTGTTTGGATGGGCCAGGTATGTGGGTCAGGTCTGGGAATGTTTTCCCGCTGACTGCACTGAAGGCCTTGGAGACAAAGAGCATGAAGGGCCCTATTTGTCGTGGGACTGTATCTAATAAAACTTCCTGTTCTGCTTTTATTGACTAAGCCTTCCCATGTTTAACAGCCCATAACAGCCAGAATTACTGGTGTTTTCCACAGCTGATTTCAGCCTTTGTGTTAAACTGGGGCCGGAAGAAAGCCCTTGTGCCGCAACCCAACATACGGAGGGYGCGTTTGGGATGAGATCCTCTTCCGTCTTTCCCGTCTGCATGGCCGTGTGGACTCGCACGGACTCGTAAATGGAGGGTTCCTCCACCCTGCGGGGATAGGGGTGCTTCAGTACGATCAGGGTTCCTGGAAAGGAAAGGAGCAATAGTGAGTTATAGGGTCCCAATTACTGGGGGCTCTTATCGAAGAGCTGCATTTTTAGACTACCTACAGTAGCGAACAACCTCCTGAAACYAGTAACTGCTGCAACATCCCATCTTACTGCTGTTAAACGGTACAAAACATSGCTGTATTTCTATTTTGTGCTGGTGTCACCAGCCCTTAAAGAGCAGGGATGTTTGGTTTGCCAAGAACCGGACTGGAAACCTACAAATATCTTCATTATTTGGAAGTGAAATATAGTAAGTTTTGTAGTAGGCAGGGCTATAAAGGGAAGGGCTATAAAGGGAAGTGGAAAAATGATATATGAAGCAAGCAACTGAAATGTGGTCACAGACACAGGAGTGTAGGCAAACATGAGATAATCAACTGAGAATAGGCCCCAAGTCTGAATCAACTTAATTTTCCCTAGTCTGGGAAGGGGAGAAAGATGAAAAGTGGTTTACCACTTGATGGAGGTTCTCAGACTTCCTCTTATCAGCTTCCATTGACCTATGGAAGCTGCTCCTAGCCTGTTGCACAGGCTCAGAGTACTATCCTGTGTGCATCATAGACACTCTTATATAGGGATTAGAAGAATATTTTAGAAGGTTTGTTTTTCTAGTCAGTCCTCCACCTCTTTTCTTCCACAAAAGATGCTTTCATATAGTTATTCTATAACTATTTAAGATCTAGTAAAAGCTGATCCAGCTGCCCTGCATGCTTGTGTTTCTAAGGAAGAACAAAAGCTAGTGTGTAGCCACCTTCTTGGAAATTTTAATCAAGTTAGAGTAACTTTGGCTTTTCTGTCTGTCTTGTGATTCTAAGTTCCTAAATGGTTTCCAAATGCAACTAAAAGTTGGTAAATAAAACAACAAATGGGTAAGAGTAAAATTTTAATCTTGTCACTTTGGAAATTGTTAATATCGAGATGTGTATTGCTTAGCCTCTGTCAGTCTTTGAGAAACTCTCACAGATGACATTAGCCTTAATTTCCTCTTGAATTATCTGTAGTTCAGGAGGAAGTGTCAACTTGGACGTAGCAAAAATGAATGTGAATGTGCAGAGCGAAGCAGAAATGAAGCCGTAGTGGGTGAGGGTTGGAGCCCAACTTGCTGCAAGCCCTGCCCTGCACAGAGTAACTGGTGCTGCAAGCCCTGCCCTGCACAGAGTAACTGGTGCTGCAAGCCCTGCCCTGCACAGAGTAACTGGTGCTGCAAGCCCTGCCCTGCACAGCCCGCGCTGCAGGGCTGAGGCCGGTGTGCCCAGGGAGGCCCTCGTGGGCTCTCCTGGCGGAAAGGTAGCTCCGGTGGAGGAAAGGGGAAAATAGTTGCTATTTTCGGCTTCTTTATTGCAACTCTTCATGTTTTTTAGCATTTCCAACTTACATTTAAGAGGTGTCACAAAGCCAGCAGAATCTGATTAGGGAGCTTTGGGCTGGCAAGTGAGCCCATCACTCAGCACCATTGATCCTGTCTGCAGAGATCACATAACACCAAGCCCTTAATTACTAATGTCTGTAACAGAGGCGATGAATGTGTGCCTGAATATTTCTGTATGTCATCTGAAACCTTTACAAGGTTAGGCTTGGGAGTGTCATGTGTGACTTGGGGGAGAAAAGAGCTTTTTGGTACAAAAGATAGACTTCAGAATGTCTGAAGAGGAGCTTATCAGCAATAAAGGTAGCCAATAAAGATGGGAGTAAAAGGAGCTTGTGATGCATTACAGCAAAAAAAAACTGTGCACGTGGGGCTCTGCTTACCTGTCTCGCTTCCAATTAAAGGTTGATTTGCGAAATGCATGACCAATTCCTTCAGGTTAGAAAATTCATTAAATCCAAATTTGAATGTGGTTCCTGTATGTTCCACGTGGAAGTGTTTCACAGAATCTTTTCCCCTACAATAGAAAATGAAAAATCTGTCAAGACATAAATGCCCAAGACATGTGGGTACCTACAGTCCATGAGTAGCAGTTTTCATTGCAGGAGATCTGGAGTTGCAGGGCCTGCTTCATACGGTGGCCTGCAGTTGAACAGATACAAAGGAGTCCACAGGTTGCAGGTTGAGTTTCTCTGTCCTGGCAGTAATATCAGTGTTATTGCCATCCCACACAAATAGGCAACACATTTTAAAAATCAAATCTGGCGTTATCCCTGATTCCCACATGTGTATAGATTTATTTACTTTAGACACCTAAGGCCTTTTTACTTCCCATGCAGAAGGTGTTTCGAGGTCTGCTCTGCACGCAYGCGAATGGTCTCTTTGCCACGGGCAGTGTCTGATGTGACCTACAGCCCGTTGCCCCTCAGGGCAGCCGCATCCCTTGTTTGGGAAGGCTGCCTGTGTTTAGGGTGTGCGAGGGGCCCCCCTGCCCTTGTGGGGCGGCTGCTTGCTCCGAGGTCCAAAGCCAGCCACGCACCTGGGGCACCTCGCTCGCGAGGAGGCCGTTTCTGTTCATGGTACTGGTAACCAGCCAAAACAGTCCAGGCAAAATCAGGCTCAGGGAAAAAATATGTTCAGTATATATGCTGAAAATGTGTAGATAAAATGAGTAAATAGAACACTTTAAAGTGGAAATCAGTGTTTCAACAGAGTTGAAAGAGCACTGCCACAAAACTAATGTAATTCAGTAAAATATGAGGATCTGGGCTCTGGTTTGGGATAYGCTCTGTGCTTCCAGTAACTCAGTAAGGGATTCTTGATTTCATGTGGAGAGTTGATTGAAGTACTAGAATTGGCCTGAAGGAGGCTCTTTTAGTTATTTTAAGGCTAGACTTAAACTTGTGAATTTGACTGCTTTGTTTAATTTCTTTTAATAGGGAATAAAAGCTAAAGTATTTTAACAATTTAAGTTTTATCCTAATAGATGGATTGCAGAGCCAGACCCCAGTCAGCRCACTCACATACAGGCACCCCCTCAAACCTGTTGTATAAATGGCTGTCCATAGTGTCCATAATGTCTACAGTGTCTATAAGTATGGGAGTGCTTGCTCTAGGATCTCCATAAAAGGCCAGTGAAGTAAATTGTATTTGTGTCTCCTACCTCTGTGGAACAGGGCAGGCACAAATAGTACTTTCCTCAGCTTCCAAATGGCTCCACTTCCAAATGATAATGGCTCCTGGTACTGAGTGCATGGAAAATCGCTCAGCTCAAGGGCATGTGCTGTGTTCTTGCCTACTAGCACTGTGAAGAACTAGTGCAATGTATCTATTATAGTGGCCTTAGCCCAAAGAGTTCCTGTGATCCAGCTGAGCTCTGGTCACTAATCATCCGTATGCTCAGTTTGCAGTGAAGTTAGGTCAAAGGCACTGCTTTTTTAGCCTTTGGTAAGTGTGTAAGATATGTTAAGTCTCTTTTAATTAAAGTACTACTCAGTTTCCATTCATCTGATGGGCAGCAACTGCCTTGGTGTCCAAGATGTGTGCGTGTCGCAGCCTCTTTGAAGGGTCCTTAAATGTGCTCAGTAGCGAGGCCCAGGCTGAGCTGTGTGTGCCYTGTTGCCTGCATCCTCAGCTGATGCAAACGCTGCAACTGGGATGCTTTCAAGGGCATGATGCTTGTTATTCTGGGATGTTGCTCATATTGGTCATGCAGTCCTAGCTAAAACAGTGTTAGCCCAGTATGGGGGAGACTTGCTGGAAATACCTCATCTCACAGAGATGGATGTTCCTGGGAATGGGTACAGGGAGCTGTATAGGAGCACACTGTCCAGAAACTGGTCATGTTATCAATTATTATCTACATGTTTAGTACTATGCTTTCTTTCTCATACACCTTTTCTACTCCCCTCAGTCTATTTCTTGAACTCCTGTGACTGGCAAAGATTTTTATATTCAAAGATGCAAGAACAAGCCTATACCATCAAGCTAYATCATGTTGTTTCTCCCTAGGAAAATGAATTCATACTCTGAACTGGAAATGCTCTATTTTTTTCCAAAATCTTTTTTCTTTCTATCAATGTATCATTCAGCAYGATTTCACCATTAGAAACATATATTTTAAATAGCTCCTGTTTGCACCATCAGAAGAAACTTGTAGGTCACCTCAACGCAGGAGAGCTGCAAACAAATATGGGAATAAGTGAAGAYCTCAGAACCCTCATCTGGTGATAGATAAAACCCAGGTGCTCTGCATGTGTCCCTACCTTACAGAGAGGGAGTACAGGCCTTCCTTTTCATTGCTCTTCCTCAAGAGGTAGCTCCCATCCTGCCCGTTGGAGAGCAGCAGCGCTTCCGCCGCGTGCCGGGTGAGGCTGTCGTGGTACCACCTGGGAAGGCACAAACAGGGGGAAACAGCTGAACTGCTGCTCGTAAGAGGGGTAAAAACTGAACTGCTGCTTGTTGGTAGCCACGTGGTTGGCTTTGGGCTGCTGCGGTGTGAAGCCAGGCAGGGCTGGAAAGGCAGGCCCGGAAAGGCAGGCGCAGGGCTCCGTACCTGGGCTGCGACAGCAGTGGGTTCCTGCTCTTTGCCCAGCTCACTCAGCTGGTGCAGGGCTCTGCCCCTCAGCAGCCTCCGCTGGTCTCTCTTGAAGACGGTGTTCCTTACAAACTTGTAAGCAGCTGACAGTTTGAATTTAAAAAAWAWATATATATAYATGCATATCTCCAAGTTAGGCTGCATGAGCAATGAGACGTTACCTTAACGTAAGGCGATGTAGGTGCAGGCAGTTTTGGAGGGGTGCTGTTCAGGTCCCTGGTCTGTTTGCTAATTCTGTACTTCCTGACCTAGCTGCACGCTCCAGGGCACTTCCCCTTTCGGGGCAAGTAAACACCACTGCTAAGAAATCCCCTCCCAAATCCTACGCATGCTGACAGTTATGTGTACAACTTCAGGTGCAAAGGCAAGGGGAAACAGAGCCTCTCTGAGCAGAAGGAGCCTTTGGTGCATCCCTGTTGCGCGGTATCGTGGCATCCCTCRTGCTGCAGGGATGTGCAAGGGCACCCGTTGCTCCTCCTCTGCTCGCTGCGAGTGGCACCTAAAGGAGGCAGCCGCCCACCCTGCRCCCCTGGGTTTAAAGCCTGGCTTTAGAGGCTGCCTGTTCCAAAGGGCAGCAGATTGATGGATGGTCCTGGGAAAGACTTCAGACTGTAAACCCTATGGAAGGCAAGATCCCTGTGAAACTTAATCCTGGCAGGATATTGCAGGTTTGGCTCTAGGGTGTGCTCTGTGGGCTGGCTGCGCTGTAAGGAATAAAATAATGAATATTTAAAGATCAAAGGGTCATCCTCTGAAGCACCTGTTAGCCAAAGTCTGCTCTGGGATTAGCTGCCCAAGTCGGGAGCAGCCAAAGGTCGGGTCTGTCCTGGTGCCAGGAGGCTGGTGCTGGCACCTGTGCTTGCCCAGACCGGGAGTGGGAAGGTGGCACCAAGGCACTGACCAGGGAACTTGACCATGGTGCAGCACCCCAAAAACAAACACACAACACCCCACAGAACACCCTGCTTGGGGAAAACAACATAGCCATAAGGCCCATATCTTAATCTCTGGTGAAAAGGTTGCACCATTCTATCCTGAATATGCGGTCATTTAAGGCAAAAATCCCTTAAATGTTAAGGTSTCCCTGCTCGCTTCCAAAGGCAGAAATGGTGCCGTGGTATGGCTCTTCATGCCACAGTAACTATTATATGTGGTTATTTTTTCCATATTTCTCCTGTTAGCGAAATATCAGAGATATATCGGAAAATTCCCCCTCCCAAAAGACAATTGCTGCTGCTTGAACCACACGAATGGTCACAGAGAACYTGTTCCAATCACACTGAACAAGGTACAATTTTAGAAACCTGTGGCAAATTTGGTAGCTCTATCTCCCTACCTAATTAAAACAGAAAACTAATARAATGCAACAAAAGGCTTTACAAATATATGCCTTTTTGAAGCTTTTAAAGCTTTTACTAAGACCATGAGCGAACATTCTAGTTATTTACTTTCTTGGGAGAAAACTGCATTCTGTCTTACCGGCATTTTCAGTTTGAACCACGTTATCTTGTGTACGGGGCTATTTATAAAAGCCCTTCCAAAATTCACCTCTATTTGACTCAGCCTATAGATCTGGTATTCACTTCAGGAATTCCAGAAATAGTCTCTKTTAGGTGCTGATACCTGTCAGACCGGGCACGACTTGCCTGGGGCCCCTGATGGACATCTCTGAAACAGCAGATGAGGAGGGCAAACAGGGAGCCAAGCTTTCCCCTGCCTCAGAGCATCGATAAATCCATAATTTTGACAGGTGCCCTTGGTCTTGGGCTTCAAATCTGTGTTTTGAAGATGTAAATTCTTCTAGGAGTGTTGCTCTAGCTGTGGATAACCCAGGGAGTGCTGTTACTTCTGGATCATCACCTCAGCCCATGCTCAATGGAAACCCTTGCTGGGTTTTTCAAAGCAAAATGTTTTAACTGCCTTTGGTTTTTACTGTTTGGAGTGATGCTCAGCTCCGAGGTGTGCCCAGCTAAGAGAGGTGCTGCACAAAAGCAGCAAGGACTGTGCTTAATTTTTGTGCCCTCATCAGAGGATCTTCCCAGCTTATTACAGGTGTCTTGACTGTCTGTTGTAGGAGGTCAGGCAGTTTCTGAGTTCCCCCTGGGAAATAGGAAGGAGGTTACCCGTAGCGGGCCGGGTTATCCATCTCCCGTGCCCTCAGGAAGCAGCGCGTCGGTGCGATGCTSCTGCCCGCGGCCGGCACGCGGAGCGGCTCCGTCCACCCGCTCGCCCACCAGAGCCGCCCTGGGGGCACGTGCGCCCTCAGGATGGCTGCTTTCCCAAGCTGTTCCAGAGAAGATATTTATTCTTTTTTTCACAGTGGTAAATACTGGTAGACTTGGCTTTTTCTTTTCTGCAGCACAAGCTGAACTGTCCTATACCTGGAAACTATAAACCTGCATCAAGAAGCATGCTCCTACTTAGCTGAGAGGAGTTATGCCACTGCTGGATGAAGCAAGTAGCAAAGYATTGGTTATCTCTCTGGGCCAGATGCTTTCTATTTGCCTTTTCTGCAAAAGTACTCTGCACAACAGCCTCATGGGTTTCTGTAGGCTGGACTTTAGCAGCTTCCTGACCAGACTGACAAACTCTAGAAACCTCCCCTATTATCAGGAAGTCAAAAGGGTTCTCTGTACTTCCCATCAGTAAAACAAGATTTTGCAATGTTTCTCAGGACTTATGAACTCGCAGAGCTCTAGAAAATCAATAAGAAAGGCAAGAAGCTTAGATGAATGCTAAGAGGAGTTATAGGTGACATGCGATCAAAAATGGTATTTGTTAGACACCCTTTCAATCTATAACGCTAAAAGACTAAATGATTCACCCCTGCAAAGTATGCTGCTGGAATAAAAAGGTGCCATTTCACAGAGGAAAAAATATTATTTTAAAATGGAAATCTAAGAGCCATCAGTGTATCCAGCCTTGAAGTTCTTTATCTCTCAGCAGGTTTTCACTAGTTCAGCTTCTGCTTCTCACTTTCATTTTCTCTTCCCCTTTTCTCAACTGACTCTGTTCTGGCTTTCACCCATTTCTCCTTTAAACTCACTACCTGGTTCTCAACTGTCACAATTTTGCCCTTGAAAATATTATTTTTCCCTGCTAGGAGCATAGATGAAGGCAATTTCTTCTGATAATTTACCCTGTCTTAGTCACTTCGATTCATGGGCACAGAAATAATATTTTTTATCTCACAACTTAGGCCTCGTGGTCTAATTTCAAAAACTTGTTTCTTCCTCCCTGGTTCTTTTCTCCTCTGAAAGACCGAAAACAAAGCAGCATCACCAGAGCTGCATTATGCTGGCACCAAAGCCATGTTACCACACCAGCCTCCAAGGAATTACCTGGATGAGAGGCTATTCCGCATTCCCATCTCTGGAGCAAGTGAACGTGTGAGTTAGGGAAGGGAGCTCTCCACCCTCACGCTACACACCATCAGCCAGAGGAGTTTGTGCCACAGTGCAGGGGCTGATGCTTTCAGCAAAAGTAGCAATAAATCCTGCTGGAAGCCAAGAGCTGACTCTAGGAAGAGCTGAGGAAGACTCTAAGTTGGCTTCTTCTTTCTTTAAACACAGGTGTTTCTTTTGGTCTGTCTCCTTTAACAAATTCCCTATCTATACATTTTAGGGGAATGTTAATTCTAGCATCTTTTTAATTCAATGTTATACTTATTTTGGTCCTTCTCTTCATTGGACACTGGTTCTAGTTATAAACATCTTTACAGTGGAGTTCATTTTACTCTGAATGCTGACTGTGATATCTGACCACTCAAACTCAAATAATTATATAACAATTATCTGACCACCCAAATAATTGAGAGCTCCCAATACACGCAAGCCACTATTTTCCCTCAGCATAAAGGATTAAAGGGGGAAAAGTGATAGATGTGGCTTTCTTTTGGTGTGATCTAAGTGGTCAAAAAGTATATCTTGATAAATACTGAGGCTTTGGAGAGAAACAGTCCAATCTAACAACAATTATAGACATTTTTAAATTTTTCCAGCGGCTATGGTTGTCCTTGAACCCTAAGTTAAATGGTTAATCCCTATGGTGGTTAAATGGTTAGATGGTTAAATCCTTATTTCTTGTTCAATTTCAGTGATGGATGGGATACTTGTACAGCAGGAGTAAGCAAAGGTTGGGTTTTTGCATACTTCTTTAGTGTTTGGACCCCACAGCAAAATGACATTCTTGATGGTTTCACTCTTTAAGCCTTTTTTTCTGCATTCTTCTCAGCTTCAACATTTCCCATGTAATTACTGAAGCATGAAGTAGGAACAAAGCAACGAAGGCACTTCAACCTAGGAAGGATTCAGGTAGATTTTACACTGCAAACTCTTCTACATTGCTGTCCACTTGCAGTTTGGGTTAGCAGCTGAACTGGCAAAATATGAGGGCATTGCGGTACTCCATCTTCTTTCTCTCAGAAGCAAAAAAAAAGTGCTTCCCATTTAACACTTCTTGAAACCTTCTCCAACTTCTTTGTGGTTTTCTTATTTTGTCTTTTGGATCTTGTTCTTCTTGGGTTTTTTGTTTTTTTTTTCTACAACTTAAAGCAGAAGGTCTAAAAATAACCTCCTTCAATTTCCTCCAAAAGGCAGGTGAATTTCAAAGTTGCTCCTCATGTGAATGGCTTTTGTCTCTGTAGGTCTTTATTATTGCAATGACGTATAAGAAGTTTAAAGTAACAACAACAAAAAACATACACTAATATAAGTCCAAGGCCATACTCTGATTCAGGTCTCATTTGTGGTAGGCACTGTGCTGGTATTAAGAAGAAATTGTCACTGTCGCAGAACTGGAGACAGTTTATGAGGAAAGGGGTGGAAGCCTTGTGGTGGCTGATGATTTAAAGTTATGGTCTATGTCTGTTGAGCACCAGTTTTCACAGCTGATAATACATAGCTAGATTTAAAAAAAAGTCACTTCATGCATAGTTAATATGCAATCTGAAGCCAGAGGCAATTCTTTCCTCTTGACAAAATTCAAGAAAAGTGGACCTAATAGCAGCTGGAATAAGGGCTTCAATCAGCAGCTCCACAGGAGTCTTTGYTCAGCGTGCTTATTCACATTTATTTGATTTAGCTCAAGAGGTTGCTCTGTCTTGCTCTAGTGTGAAGTTTCCACTTTACACGGAAGAAGTATTTTAAAGCTGGAGATTGTCTTGCATCTTTGTAGTCTTCTCATTCTCAGGTTTGCCACCTTGCTTGATCTAGGTCAGGCTGGGATGCTGCAGGGTGAGGATGAATTCCTCACCAACTGCAAAGCTATCTGTGAGCACAGACCCCTGTTGCAGCCTGATTCAGGCTGTACAGCCTGAACCAATTCTGGTTTTGCAACATGCAAGGCTAGTGATTTGCAATTACATTTCCCTCAACTGCTGAAATGCAACCTATTCCTGTGCAGCAAAGATGATTTTTTATTTTTGCATGAGAGTAATTTTTCGAGCATAAAAGGAAAAATGCATAACAGACATTCTGTGTTACAATATTAAGTGACTTAATTCACTCAGTATTGCTAGATGCTTCAAAAGCAGGTTCTTAGCTAATAGGTGCTCCCAAGTGGGGGAAGATGACACCTTGCAGGGGTAACTGCAAGTCTCTCCAGCCCTTCACTAAGTAAATTTGAAATAGACGATCAAGTTGTCTTATGATAACCTTATTTTCACTCTCGCCTCCTTCTGAATTAGCAGACAACACCAGAGCCCTTYTGCTTTCTGCATCTTGCTGCTCTTATTTTTCCTGCCTGATCTGCACCTCCACTTAGCTGTCCAGTCGCTGGGTGCTGCTTTTCCAGCCTCAGTGTCTCCTCATGGGCCGCAGTGCTCTGTGTGGGAACGCCTTGGGGCTGCAGAAAGCCAGACCATGAGTGCATTGCATTTAAGGATGGCCAAGGGTGGAGGAGGAGGAGGAAGCTGTTGCAACTTTTGCCCTTCCTCTTGCTTCTTGGCTTTTACTTTCCAAGCGTGGGTGCTTCAGCGGGGGCATGTAGTCCATGGCCTGGAGGAGCCGTGTTGGGCTGGCAGTGGTGCAGGTCCGTGTGGGATAGTGTGGTGCGAGCTGTGCTTTCCTTGGCGGCATTTAAACGGTGTTTAGAAGATGCTAGGTGGTGAGCGAGCCAACGGATGATGCTTATTACTGTTGATAATCTTTCTAGTAGCTGTTTCTTTCTTCTCTCCTAGTTATTTTACAAATACCAGTCTATTTGCTGTGTGTCACCTGCCACTGTGCTCTGCATCCAAGCACCTCAAACCACCAACCCAAATGCAGCGTGGGGCTGCATCTCTGCAAACAATGCTACCTATTTTGTCCCTTGTAGTACAGTTGGCAGCTTATTTTTCCTCCTCTTTGCTGCCTCCTGCAGAGCTGCCCTGCAGGGAGCACCATTGGGTAAAGGGGGCGACCGTGAGGGGGCGCCATTTTGTGATGGGGTGACTGCAGCGGGGGGGGGCGCGCCATTTCGTGACGGGGGCTACCGCGAGGGGGCGCCATTTCGCGAGGGGGTGACTGCAGCGGGGGGAGGGCGCCATTTCGCGAGGGGGATCCCCGTGCCCTTCCCGTGCCGCCCGGGGCTCCGAGCTGCGCCATTGCGCAGCGGGGTCTTACCCGAGCGCCTGGAGCTGCTCGGCGAGCGGCGGCGGCGCATCCCCGCGCTGGCTCTGGCTCATGCTGGTGCTCGCGGCGCGGCGGGGAGGCGCTCGGGC